TTTTCCCTCCTGTTTGGTTCGGTGGAGATAAATTTACAGTGCTCTTGCTGGCCATCATTGATAGAATCATCGTATCATGAAGTCCAAGTATGTCATCCAAGCGTGTTCATAAACCTCACTTGTGAGGTGTTGGAGCACTATATACAGATCCCCAAGTTGGGCGTGAAACTTCCGTTTTAATCCTCCAATCAGAAAGCTTAAGTAGGTTTACTAATCATCTAGTTGTGTTAGTAGCTTGATGATGAAATTCAGCTGTAGTCTGAGGCGCTGTGGATTTAGATCCACTTGTATCCCGTCGTCTAGGTAAATTAAGCTGCGAAGTCCTTGGCGATGTAGGTGCACAACCAGGTGTGTCTGTCCTCGTTGAACTTCATGTAAATTAAGCCTGACTGCCGTGCCTCGTCCTAACTTGACAGGAGGCGGGTCTCTAACCTGAAGAAAGCAGCCCAATCATGAAGGTTCAGATTAACTGGACTGTAAGGAGGCTTGCTCATTCACTGATATATAGTTGTCACTTGTATAGCGTAAGTCTTGAACTGTGAACTAAGATCGACCTCTCGTCGCACGTCGTTGTCCATCAGTGGTCCAATCAGAACAAGGCATTTTGATTCTGTAGAATACCCAGCTGTGATGTCACCGGTGTAGCAGGAAAAACCTTGTATAAAATCTTGCGTCGTTTATATTAGCATAATCGTCGGTCTTCACCGTAGCTTCGAAGTTACCCGAGTGACCACGTGTTTGAGGGTTAATGGTAAAGCGAAACCTCCGGTAGCCGAAATACCTCGCTCTGTAATATTAATGCTGGGTAGGTTATTTTCCTGGCTGTCGTGAAAGTAACTTCAGTTTTGAATTGAATTCCGACTTCCTTATATAAAGGTACAATAAACTTGCAAGTTGTCAGCTTGTAGACTGTATACATGAATGTATCGTCGTAATTGTAGAATTAAAGCTGAACTTGTTGTACATATTACTTCTCAGAAACGTTGACGATTATGAGTTATGCTCGCTGTAAGAAGGCTGCTGTTCAATTTCGATATTGAATTGTCTGCAGATCTGCGTAATGGTCACGCATGTAGATAATCGTATCGTAGTGCGGGATAGCATATTCTAGCAATCTATACGGAAAGTTGATTTCTGTGAAAATCTATGAAACGTCGTTGACTAATTAATATAGCGACGTTCTGTGTTGTAAATAGCCTGTGCAATTGTCTTCACGTAGGCTTATAGACGGCATATGGCATACAGTTGATAGACAACTTATGCGATGTCTTGAACGGACTGACGAGTAGCTATATATGACGAGTGGCTAGTATATGGAGACCTTGGAGGATACTTCCTCGGTGAACGCCGGAGACTTCACGAAGCTCTCGAAGTATCCCTTCTAGATCTTCTGGGTGAAGTAGACTTGGAGCCACTTAGCCTTCGCGACCTTCGCGAAGGTATCGAGTCAGAGTCCGATCAGTATATATATATGTCATTTTTAGAGTAAATTTGATATTTTATACTTATCCTGACTCATGCTTGCTTCATGAGCGACCTCTGTGTTCAACAGGATGTGAAATTCGGCGAAGCGCTACTCCTCCTCCGTGGCGTCCCTTGTAACTGGTGAGGCTCTAGCTCCTTTTCGCGGAGGCGGCCTGGGACTTCCTTAGCGAAGAGTCCGATCAATATATGAGCGTTAGCTTCATACAGGGTGTGGTTCTTGCTGGTTCTGCATAAGTAGAGCCGAGTAGATCATCCTATCATCTTCAGAAGTCGTGTCACGAAATCTGGTGATAAGAATCTCATTGATCGTTCTAGATCTATTAAGGCCAAAGAACATACGCCTCTGGCGTTTGAACTTTCATGGCTTTATGGTAGGCTGTGTCCACATTCTGTGGCACCGCAGCAATCGGGTCGATCGGAGGTAAGGTGATGGCGTCTGCATCGTCTTCCTTCATCAGGTATGTCTGCGCCGAGTTGCCACTCTTGGAAAGTGAAGAGAGATCTAGGTTGTTTACCATCCAATATCGTATCTCAGCGTCTGAGAAAATGATGCCTCCATCATCTTCTATCCCAGCATCGCTGATGAGAGGTTGATGCTCTTCTGATGGTGGACTGTGTGCTGCTATCTCTATGTCGGGTGACGCTTGGGGAGACCTGACTGTAGACTTGTGTGCAGACTTGTGTGGTGACCTGCGAGGTGATCGACGTGGTGATGTATGCGGAGATCGGCGTGATGAACGGCGTGGAGATCGTCTAGGTGATCTGCGTCTATGGGATGACCTTCTCGGAGATCTGTGAGGAGAATGTTGATAGCTTCGCGAAGCTCTTGAGTAGTCCCTCGACGTCCTTCTGGACGATGACGATCTGTGTGGCGGCCTTCGTGAAGCTTCCTCTGCGTCCGGACCTGGGGAGCGGCGCCTTGACCTCCGTGACGGCTTCCGTGATGTCTGGTTCTGAGTCTGCATCTGAGGATGAGGCCGAGGACGGTGACGATCTCTCCCGCCTTCGCAAAGGCCTTCGCAAAGACTGTACATCTGGGTCCTTCGTCGAGGTGGTCTGTGACTTCCTTCTCGAAGGCTGCTTCGTCGTGGCTGCTACGCTGACTGGGGGTGCCTCTGGGGTGTCGTCTGCGTTGCTCAGGCCCTGGGCTGGCTGCTTCTCCCGTCTGTAGTGGCCCTCCATCATGGTCATGATCTGCCGCAACAGCTCGTCTGGGATGGTCTGCGACGAAGTGGTCGGTGCCCTCTCTGCGATGACAGCTGCTGAGCCCTCAGGGAAGTCGTCTGACATCAGTGTAGAGACATCAGGCTGCATGGCGATCTCTGCTGATGTCACTGGTCGCTTCTTGTGGCGTACGCCGCGGATGATGATCGGCTGATCATCGTAGAAGCCCAGTTCAGCGGCTGGAACAATCTCGGCTGAGAAAGTCCTAGTAGACTTCGTTGATATCCCCTCAGAGGTCGACGCTGCCCTGGGGGTGCGAAGTCTGCGTTGAGTGTTGGTAGCGACGGGACCCTCAGGAAGATCATCGAATATCAGCGTTGGTACATCAGGCTGCATGTTGATCTGCGCTGACATCACTGTTGCCGACATCGGTCATTCTTTTGATGTACATCAGGTATGATGATCGGCTGATCATCATACAGGCCCAAATCTGCGACGGGAACAATCTCGGCTGAGAAAGTTCTAGTAGACTTCGTTGATTTCCCCTCAGAGGTCGACGCTGCCCTGGGGGTGCGAAGTCTGCGTTGAGATGCAGTAGAAGCCCTCTAGTCTTCGGCTGCGACGATGGGATGTCTGGGTGAGCAGGACGCTTCTAGGAGGCGGCGGACTACGTCCCACGCCTCTCCACCACTCTAGCGGAACACCAGACGGGAGGGGGGTCGACCAACAGCAGTAGACTGGCGAGGGGTTCTGGTGTATCAGTCATGGCTAGACTCTGCATACGCGACCTATCTGCTGCGCGTCTCAAACACAAAGTAATTATTTATTAAAGGCAGAATTGGATAAATTAGTACCGCAACTGCCACGTGAATAAAATGAAACATGGCGCAGTACAGCTAGGGCATATTAATGCGGATCAGCAGCAGAATAAAAAACGTAATCTGCAACAGTACAGAAATTTTCATCAACGTAAACCACAGAATAAACATGGCATCCCGTGAATAAACAGTAGAAACACGACTAAATATCAATATATAATTGTTGAAGGATACTAGCTAAACCTCTATAGATGTCTATACGAGGTAACTAACTAAATATAATCAAAGGGTATAGTGTGTCGGGAGACACAGGCGCTCTCACGTCCAGCTCACTGGGCGAAGGAGGAGAGAGTGAGGCACATGGGTGGAGGTGGCGCCCTCGTTCCCGCGCTTGTGGAAGGGAGGTAACTCGTGGTGAGTACTAATTAGTGATTTTACATTGAAGGGAGCTTCAATTAGGGAGATACAAGTGTTCCACTATGTTCGCAAGAAGAAGACGACAAGCAAAAAGAGCATGAGTCAGGATAAGGAAAAATTAGATGTATCTTTCTTTTTGGTTTTCATTAACAAATCTGTTACTGTCATGTTTTATTCAAATAATATTTAAAACCATCTGTCTCATACTTAAAACTTGACCAAGAGCAAGAAGAATGCAGTCCTAAGTTTAGTTAGATGAGTATTTAGAACTCTTGTCTTAAACTATATATGTATATGTTATATATATACATACATTCTATCCATGTTCTTATCTTTCCTTTAACAACAAACAATTCCAATACTTTCATGAATATATTTTATCCCTCATTTATTATTCAATTATTAATATCTGTATTAGATTTCTTACACGGGAGAAAAGGATAGAATAGGAAACACAATGATTTGAACAATATGTTATTTTCTGATGCTTTCTAGCAATAGAATCTGAATACAACACACAAATTCATACACATGTGTATGTGTATACAAGATGGGAGGATATTATGTCTAGGGGCATATCTGTATGTTCAGGGAAACTATATCAAAACGTCACACATTCAAGCATATGTACTTGAGCCAGTATGTCATCTTCTATACTCCTGATGTAAGTGTTATGAATCTAGACAACGGTTCTTAAGATATTCTAATTCGTACCCAGAATCATCCCCTTTTCAAATAAAAACAAGGGTAGGGAAGTAGCCTAGCTAGGCCAGAATCTCCACCTGTTTCACAGAAAACAGAACAAAATATCCTAGTTTAAACAGGGGGAAACTTTGGTCTAGTGGGGGAACTTTAGCCTAGCCCAAACTTGATCCAGGGTAAGAATATCCTAGGACAAAACTTCCCTGGGGAAAGTTTGGCCTAGGCCAGATCCTCCCCGGGAAAGTTAGACCGTGAAGAAATGGCCTGCTACACCGGGATTCGAAGCACAGGTTTCTGGGATACCCAGGTGACAAAGATCTGCACAGCCCATTGCTGTGCCTTTGAACACGCTGCAACCTAGTTTAGTCAAGTAAAAGCTTACAGGATATGTAACAAATGAACATAAGAACTTACCAGTGGATTCAAACTCATTATTTCCATCATTTGCGAGGCATCGTCAAGTGCTCCAATGGGATCATTTTGTTTGATGAGCAGCTGAGTACGGAGGTCAAAGAGATCCATAAAGAGGTCACCGTCAGGGTACTCAAAGAACTCATATGCTTTATGTTCAGCTGCATTGCAGAGATTGAAAGCAGAGTCATACTGACCATCTTCAAAAAATTTCTTGGCAACGTCAATCATTTCTTTGACAGAGTTCTTCTTTATTGACACTGAAAAAGTGTTGAAATTTGCTGTTAAATCTTAGAGCATGCATACTGAAAGTCACAGATTAATCAAGACAGTAGATTATATTTTTTAGACAAGCTGTCTCCAGTCTTTTTCAAAGGTCTACTTTTCCTAGGTGTTAAGGGAACAGATTACAATGCTTTGGTACAAAACAAAACCCAAAAGTTAAGAATGCACTTGCTGAAAATTTCTGATTAAACTAAATAATCTTTCACAATGTTAACAATGGAGTCTGTTGATAAAGAAGAATCACCAATCTATATCTATATCATTCAATATGGTTTCATTCTACAATGCTAAAGAATGAGTGAGTGAGTGAGTATGGTTTTACATCACTTTTAGCAATATTCCAACGATATCATGGCAGGGAACACCAGAAATAGGCTTCACACATTCAAAGCATTTGGAGAATCAAACCTGGGTCTTCAACGTGATGAGCGAACGCTTTAACTATTAGGCTAACCCACCGGCCCATATAAACAGAGCATTCATTAGCATTCAATATGGTTTCATTCTACAACACTTTATTTAAATAGTCCTTAAAGTTTCTGTTTCCAGTCAGAACAATGATAACAAGCACCCTATTCACAACATGAGAACAATTCAAAATGTATTAGTCATTGTGTATATGAGCAAGTGTGTCATACGACTTATACGAAACGAGTAGGAAATTTTGTATTGCCCGAGCGAGAGCGATACACAATTTTGCACGAGTTTCGTATAAGTCATGTGGCACACATGCGAGTGTAACAATTTCTTTATTATCCATTTCATTCATGTACATTTGTGCAGTAAAACATGGTAAGCAAGTTTAACTGCCCTGTTCATTGACATCATATACAATTGTTTAATGACATCACAGACGATGAAATACAGAAACAATGGTTGCTAGGCAAAAGTGATATGTGCATGTGCATGATATATATGACACTGATTATGTTTCATCGTATGGATAATAAATATGCCTATGTCATCATTCACATAGGGTATAATTAGTTTTCATTTGAGAGTGATTCACAACAGCCCTAAATAAATACTGTTTCAGGTATTTTCCTCTTTGTATCTGTTTGTGTTCTACCGTAGCCGAAATGCAACACAGTTGTGGCCAGTTCATATATTATTCACAAGAGTAGGCAAGAGTTCATGCATGTGTTCACGTATGCTTTCTTGTATGCCCGAGTACATGTATGCCTGAGTTCATGTGTTCATGTATGCCTGAATTCATGTGTGTGTTCATGAAAGCCTGAGGTGAGGTAAGGTGAAATCGGGTTTAACGTCGTACTTGAGAATATTTCGCTCATATGACGATGTGCATGCGTGTGACCGGTGAAGCATGAATACCCCACTCAGACACATTATACTGACTCCGAGCCGACCAGTCCTTGTTGTACCCATTAATGCCGAGGCAGGGACCAACAAGTACCATATTTTAATGTCTTTTGGTAAGGCGAGGTCAGGGATTGAACCCGCCACCTTCCGCTCTCCGGGTGTACGCTCTAACCACTACACCACAGAGGCGGTCCATGAAAGCCTGAGTTCATGTATGCCTGAGTTCATATGTGTTCATGAAAGCCTGACTTCATGTGTGTTCATGAAAGCCTGAGTTCATGTGTGTTCATGAAAGCCTGAGTTCATGTGTGTTCATGTATGCCTGAGTTCATGTGTGTTCATGTATGCCTGAGTTTATGTATGCCTGATTTCATGTGTTCATGAAAGCCTGAGTTCATGTGTGTTCATGAAAGCCTGAGTTCATGTATGCCTGAGTTCATATGTGTTCATGAAAGCCTGAGTTCATGTATGCCTGAGTTCATGTGTCTTCATGTATGCCTGAGTTCATGTGTGTTCATGAAAGCCTGAGTTCATGTGTGTTCATGAAAGCCTGAGTTCATGTGTGTTCATGAAAGCCTGAGTTCATGTATGCCTGAGTTCATGTGTGTTCATGAAAGCCTGAGTTCATGTATGCCTGAGTTCATGTGTGTTCATGTATGCCTGAGTTCATGTGTGTTCATGAAAGCCTGACTTCATGTGTGTTCATGTATGCCTGAGTTCATGTGAGTTTATGTATGCCTGAGTTCATGTGTGTTCATGAATGCCTGAGTTCATGTGTGTTCATGAAAGCCTGAGTTCATGTATGCCTGATTTCATGTGTGTTCATGTATGCCTGAGTTCATGTGTGTTAATGTGTGTTCATGAAAGCCTTCTTCTTATTCATAACATACATCCCTTTACAATATAAGTGTGATGTAGTGCATTCTGCAACAAGAAACCACAGTTTATCTAGGCCGTGTGGGAGGGCTTTGATGGTTTTGAGACTACTACTTACGAAAGCATATTTGGACTGTCTTCAGTCACAGCTTTCAGACATTTGTCATGTGCAAGAGGCTTTCCAACTTTGAGTTGCCTCAACTGTCTCACATGACTACTGCAAATCCTAATGACATTATGACTCAACTACTCTTTTTTGTTCGCCTGAACATTTGGTAACCTGTTCTAATCCACAAATTTCCAATCTATTAACAAATTCTTCACCACTTTCCAAAATACCAGTTTCGTGTGATAGTTTTTTTCCGATGAGAGTCAGATGTTTATCCGTACACTTGTGTTTTTCTTGAAATTGTCCGGATAAACGAATTTCCGGTTATCTGAACCACGGACCATATGTAAAAAGACATACAAGAAACTTGCATAATAGACCTCAGACGTAATTTTTATTGATAAGACATCAACAAATAACAATGCATACATAAATATCATCTTGTCAAATAAAGTAGTCAAGTCAGTAACACGTGCGAACATAACTGTACATGCATCTGCCTGCCAAATGCTAGCAACCAATCACGGAACAGTTCTGATGTCATCCATGTGTTGCATTGTTCCTGTACCTAACATAAACTTCCCGATTAAAGTCACTACCAAAACAACGGGGACGTCTAGCCTTGCCAATCACAACTCAAAATTAACTCAGTGTCACCTTGCTAATTACACGTAGTTAATCCTCTCACACTTCAAAGACTGCCGACTTCTTTAGTGTTAGGGCACGCAAATCACTCGGTAAAACGTGTGTGTAAACATACTGACAGGTGCTCAGCCATCTGGATATACGAGAATAAAATGCATATAATTTAGTGTTTTGTATGTGAATATGACCGTCCGGTTACGGAAACCGGATTTCCGGATAAGTGAGTACTTTTATAACATTGTGAATTCGTTTTGAGGAATTTTCGTTCGGAAGGCGTGTTTTCCGGATATCTGAGGTTCGGATAAACGGGGCACGACTGTACTTCTGGTCATGATATTAGAATTTGTATTTTCATTCACTGGATGGGTGATTTATAATACAGTGGTCAATGATAATGTTGAAAGAATTTGTCTGAAAATCACTATGATAGCAAACTGCAGTGTTCATTTTGTGGGCCTATGTTGAATTCAGCAGTGCCTTTAAGAAAATTAAGCAACATATTAAATAAGAACTTCAATTACTTAGAAATGATAACATGAACTAATGACTGACTGACTGAGTTTGGTTTCATGCCGCTTTTAGCAATATTCCAGCAACATCACGGCGGGGGACACCAGAAATAGACTTCACACATTGTGCCCATGTGGGGATTCGAAGCCGGGTCTTCGGCGTGACAAGCCAACGCTTTAACCATTAGGCTACCCCACCGGCCCTAGAAACCGTACAGTGATTTGTTTTGAAAGCGCTATCAACCAACTGTATCAGCGGCTATCAACATGTACAGTGATGATGCATAGTAGGGTAACGTTTAACTCTCGTGTAAAGAAACGAAAACTCTGTGTTAGGAATATTATACACCATTTGAAAGCTTATTTATCAAATATTTCATATGTTGTCAAGTTTTACCAAGAAATTGCGAAATTAAGGAATATTGTTGCTGTTTTTTCAATGTTTTGGGCGAAGGAGCAAAATCGGTGATGCGCTTTTGATTTTCGAAAGAAATATTAAAATTGGCAGTGAATTATAGTTTATAAGAGTAAGAAGAAGTATTTCGCTCATTCTAGTACTTGAAGTATACTCACAGTAATAACAAAACAGAGCCCATGACATCATTTCTATCAACCAAAGCACGAACGTACAGCGCACTATATCCGGTTTGCACTGTATGAGATCATACACTGTGTACCATGCTAACCTTAACATTTACATCAAGAAGTCATGCTCCTATTAATGTGTTATTCATAATCTTACAAGCGTGGTGGGGTAGTATGGAGGTTAAAGCGTTTGCTTGTCACACCGAAGTATCGGGTTCAACTCCACACATGTAAAGCAGTGTTCAAAACTCCCAAAATTCCAAGACAGACAGACGGACGAGTAATTTAAAACAATTACCAGTCCGGACACAAACTTGCCTGTCCGGTTTTCAACAATGAAAACAAATATCAGGTTTACTGTTTGCAAGCATCGCAATGAACAGCATAGAACTAACAGGCAATGCACCGAGTTTAGGTAAACTGAAAGTACATGTGTTGTGATTGGTTATTGTAAAGTGAACTGTCCAATTGTAAATAGTTTAACATAATTAGCATAATACCTTAAACACCACAACAAGAGAACCTGTCTGATATTATGAAATAAAAACAGCTACCAGACCACCGGACAGGCTACCTTTGAAATTTGACCGTCCAAGATGACCGTTCTGGACAGCTGGGCAGGCGGGAATTTTAAACGCTGTGTAAATCCCATTTCTGGTGTCCCCCACCACAAATTTGATGGAATATTGCTAAAAGTGGCATTAAACTATACTCACTCACTCACAACATTCCAATGAATTATCTATAAACAAAGTGCCCTTGCTTGGCAAATTCAAAAATAGTTTGATTTCTCAGTATTCTCATATTTGTAATTTGATGTAAAGTGAGTGAGTTGGGTTTTACGCTGCTTTTAGCAATATTCCAGCAACATCACAGTGGTTTTGAGGTAAAGGGAACCTTCATAATTCAAACTGGGAATTTTTACTGTCTTTACTGTTGCCATAGGGTCTAATATTGGCCTCTGGGCATGTCCAGATAAATTCCTACTAAACATTATTGAAGCTTACTGTGTAATAATGATGACCAACATAAACTCAATTTTACTCACTTTCAATTTCAAATGCTTGTTGGGCAAAGAAATGTGCCCGCTGCTTCCGGCCCCCATACATCGGGGCCCCTCGTCGTGACATCATTCAAGATGACTGTGGCTACATTCTGAAAGTAAGAAAAGATGTTTAGCATGATGCAGTAGAAATGAGCATTTTAAACTTTAACCATGACGGAGCAGCCAGGGATGTATCTAGACCTGCTCAGCCCTAAGGCTGCAGCAAATGACAAATTTATGGAAATACTATATCAAATTTTCAATATGGGAGAATATCAATACATTTTGCAAAATTTGTAAGCCAAAGGCATTTTGCTTCGAATCCTAGATCTCTGGCACTGAATAAAGTAAGCATGTCAATAATTAAATTCAGATTTGGAATTTCTAGAATTGGAATGTCAAGGCATGTTTATAATCATAGTTCTTTTTAACAAAGAAACTTGATGGCATTGTTTATTAAATCTGTAACAGCTAATATTACAAACACACAGAAATTAATGTACATGCTTAATGCACAGTGGGAAGAGGTTTTAATTAATCTCAAAGATACTGTAATTCACGAAATGTTTGTGAACATGATATTTCTGTGAAAATTGAAAATGACTTGAGCTCGCAAAAATATCATGACGCAATTTGTTGGTCAAACGCAATAAACAGTCGTTACCTCTGTATTAATCACCAGTTCATACAACAGATCTAGAAAATACATTAATTAAGCAATGACGACAACAACTTGGGGAAAGACTAATTACTAACATTACTAGCACTCACATGTCAAACAAGGGATACACAAACAAAAGTTACTCAATCAGTGTGTCCGACAGTCTTTAGAGACCGTTTGATAGGCCGACACCATTCAACGAGCATGGACAGGTTTCTTGACACTTATCCGGATATCAACACAGAGCTCCAGATAATTTTTCAACATCAGGAGTATGTACTCCTTATTTTTTAAATATAGGAGTACTGGACAAACTTTTGGAGTACTGAACTGAATTTAATGGAGTATGTGATCTTGTGTTTCGTTTCATATATGCACCACGACATTGCGACTCTTGTGTAAACAGGTAAAAAACAATAAAACAATACTTTTTTCAGATAAATACGTCTGTAAATGATTCTAAGACCATACACCACTGCTGTGGTGCGTATCTGCTACTGTTTCTAAATTATTTCCTACCGTATCATGCATATTTTTTATCCGTACAACGCCGATACGGCCCTTATCTGGAGCCCTGCAACAGCTTTGGTGATGTCATTGTATTTCAAGGTCCAGACTCGATTATCTACAGACCACCGCCATATCGCTGGAATATTGCTGAGTGCGGCGTAAAACTAAACTCACTCACTCAAGTTTCAAGCTAACCAGGCTTATGCAGTGTGTGTTGTTTCTAGGTAACCTTTAATATGTGATTGGATTTACTTTAGGTAGAACTTTCAGTTGCAATTTATTTTTGAGAATTAGGCAAGTCGCAGAAATATCATGACGCAAAAACGTCCATTGGTTGCCACTAGCAAAAAATATCGTGCCACAAACAATATGCGATTTACAGTATATAATCGAACAAGCTTCCTAAATTACAGGTGGTAAACAAGCTCAACAATTGATTGAAAGTGTTTCTGAACACATTTCCATTATGACTGGTTGATTCCATTAACAACTGGGCTTTCCAACCCATCTCCAGTTTCAGTTGATTTCAAGATTCAAGTATTACAAGACAGCACTTGTCTTGGCTGTATTCATTAATATCATCATCATCATCATCAGTGCTTAGAAAAATTCAAACTTCTACACATATATCATCCAATCATAGGTTTTGGGATAGCAGTGATTACTCATGCTATAAAGAGAGCTGTTGTGTCACACAGACATTGCAATTTCTCAAATGCTTTCAAAGGTTATTATTTTATCTTTCAATTAGCTTTCAAAAGTTACCAACATGTTATAAAATTGTTGTGATAACATATATACAACAACAGGTGTTCTTAAGTGTACAAAAGTTAATAACACAAGGACAGATGTTTCCAGTGCCTATTTAAACAATCGATTAAACATAAGTTATAACCAATTTCTGTTGGTAACTTTTCCCTCAACCGCCCAAAAACATTAATTTTGTTTCCACATCTTGATTCATATTCATTGTAAGACCCATGTAGAAGATAATAAGTTTATCAAGGTGATGTTATTCCTATTGAGTAAAATTTCTGGATCCCATACTTATCACTGTTACTATATGTGATGTGGCACAATCACAGATATCAAAAGAACAATACTCACAGCTTCAAGTTTCCACAAAAATAGGAAAAAGTAAAGAAATCACATAGAAGGATGTTCATAATACATTTCAACCATCATGTTTAAATATAGACTCTATCAACTTCGAGGAAAAATGTAATCAGTTTCAATAAGGGAAATCCCCATATCAAAGGGAGGTAATTCCTGTAGACGTGATATGTGCTTACCACTTGAAATTCATTACAACATGCTGACAATGTTCTCTTTCTGAAATGGTATCAAGTAAACCAAATTGTTTTTCACTTTACCCATGATTTTTTTTGTGTTGTCTTTTGGGGGAAAGCAAAGCTACTGATATATCTCCTTGCTTTTAATTGTATCAGTATTATGTTCAGATGTATATAATGGTGATGAAATATTTTGACTGTGTTGTGTCAAACATTACATAATATTCTTCAAAGAAAGTCAGATTCACTCAAATTATCAACCAACTCACTTTGAATACCCTACCTTGAACAGGCTTTAAATATATGTCACCAGATCTGGTGTCACCTAACAAAAAGCTAAATCACATCAAGCAATTATATTTTTCATTATCTGGTTCACTATACAATGTTCATGCAAATGTCACAAATGTGGACTAATTTACAATTTTAGATGAATTATCCTCCTGCTCCAAGAAATAATAAAAATCAAGCCTGCCATCTTTGATATTAATTTTTAATCATGACCTGAAAAACACACTAACATTTTCAAGGATTGTTATTTTTGTTCGAGGACAATATTTTCAGTCATAATAGTAATTTTGAAATATTTTCAAACTGCCTTCTCATCAACAGTAGACAAGGCAACAATAGCCACAAAAGTTAAACCACAATGTAATTCAATGAAAATACACTGATCAGATCAGTAAAATGAGAAATATCGTGCCCAAAATTAATTTTAGCAAGAAGTCAACAATAGAAATACGAATTGAAAATGTCTTCCGAAATAAAACAAAACCAGGACACCAACGTTGCCAACAGCATTACCTTGCATGCTGGTCATTACCTTGCATGCTGGTCACAGCCACCACACCTAACTATAGTTAAGATTAACGAAGAACCCACTGCGAGACAGCGACGAGCGAGAGGGGAAGCAGCATAGCCAACAAACCACCACACTAAGCAAACACGCAATAACACACAACTACTATTCAACTGTCAACCAACTGTTAGAAAATATTGCAAAAACGTATAATATATACTTCGTGAAAGGTGTCATGCCGTGACAACATCTGAAAAGTGGAATTCCAACGGCAATAAGACAGACTACGTCTACAGCCAGCTCATACGTGACGAGACTTCCCGCCATCTTTATTTGTAAGGTCAAGGTGATCTAGCGCTCGGTGATAACCGGATAAGTCCGGAGAAATCACCACAAACGCTGTGTTTGGCTTCCGCCAAGAGCATATCAGAAACCTTTAAAATATATTAAATTGGTATTAGTTTGAATGCATGTCATATAATGGTACACCAGTATGGAATACTTGTATCCCGGAGGAAACACATTTACGGATCTATACAGTATAATGCCTCGAGACCCTCAACTACACTTGTAAACAACCGATATTTGCTTCTCGATGGAAGGGCCCGTGGGTCTAAAAAAATAAACAAGAGTCATCAGAAGATGACAAATCCCCCCGGACCCCATAAATTTGAAAGAACAAATCAACTGACAGTTACATAAAGTCCAACTTGATTTCCAAAACGTTTCCATGGAAACCAAGAAAAATAAACTTGCCAAAAATCTGTAAAGAGCAAAAGGCACCACTTTAGCTTAAGTTTGATATATCTACCAAGTCTTGAAGAAAGATGTTGATCGGTTTGCGAGTTGTGCTCCGGAAACGAAGGCGACCTCTCCCGTTTGAGACTAGGTCTGAATCGTTTCCACGGAAACCAGGAAAAATAAAAATGCCAAAAATCTGCAAATAGCAAAAGGCACCACTTTGGGATCTGCCTCACATATCTGCCAAGTTTTGCTGAAAGATATTAAGAAGTTTTCGAGTTGTGCTCCGGAAGACCACCCCTCCCTTTTGAGACTACAGCCCGAACCGTTTTCTTGGAAACCGAGAAAATAATAAATCACAAAAGTCTGTAAGTAGCCAAAGGCACCACTTATGTTATGTTTGTTATACTCTCCCAAAATAGAAACGCATCATGAAAATAGCAATGAATTAAAACGTGATTCATTTTACAAAAGGTTTTGCTCTGTTTATGAGTCCTATGGCGTTTATGTTTTGAAACATCACAACAAAACGCACCATCCGTAAAATACCCGTATTTAACAGCATGATTTTCAATTCCGGCGTGTAGTGTCACAGAATACACAATTCACATGCAAAATGCACGTGAAAGTTGGGGATCAGATAGTCTCAATGATGGGTATAAAAGGTTGATCGCTGTCTGTCGATTATTCACTGTATTTGGAATATTGTTGACGAACGCAAAATGCCACGTCTAAGTGAAGCCAACCGTCATATCGCCATTGGTTTGCAACGTGCAGTTGCCCGACGCATGAATGTTCACCAAAGCACCATTTTCACGGCTCTGGGAGAGATATCGCCGGCAGAATTCGGTAGCAGATGCCCCTCGTAGTGGGCGACCTCGAGCGACCACTGCGGCGCAGGATCGCAACATCCGGGTACATCACCTGTGTCATCGAACAGCTACAGCGACCAGTACCGCTCGACAAATACCCGGATTGAGGAGGCTTTCTTCACAGACAGTCAGGAACAGGTTAAGAGAGGCTGGTTTACTGCCAGAAGACCTTATTTTGGCCCTGTGCTTCGACAACAACATCGTCGACATCGAGTTTAATGGTGCACCAACGTTCAGGCCTGGAACCTACCGAATTGGCGTAGAATCTGGTTCAGTGATGAATCACGATTTCTATTGGAACGACGCGATGGAAGAATGCGGGTGTACAGATGTCGACGTGAACGTTTCGCCGACGCTTGCGTTCCCCAGGTGGACAGATTCGGCCGGGGAAGTGTTATGATGTGGGGAACGATCACCTGCCGTAGGAGAAGTGATTTGGTGATGATCCAGGGCAACCTGACAGCTCAACGGTACTGTGACGAAATCCTACGCCCACACCTCCTTCCAATCATTGATCGCCAGAGGGAGTTGTTTCAACAGGACAATGCCAGGCCCCACACAGCACGTCACACTAGAGACTTCCTCCAGAGCCACAACATCAATGTGCTCCCCTGACCCTCAAGATCACCGGACTTAAACCCGATCGAACATCTGTGGGATGCCCTGGACAGATGGGTGCGACGCCGTAACCCTCAGCCCCAGACACTTCAACAACTCGCACAGGCACTACAGGCAGAGTGGGCTGCGATTGGGCAACCGAGGTGATGCCGTGAAGTACTGGATGCCCACGGTGGTCACACGAGGTATTGACTTCAGCGCCACCACACGTCTCCATGTGACACTCAAACTGACTTTCCTCGAGTTGGTGCCAAAGTCTGCATTCCCAGTGTGCAATTTCGCTATATATTGACTCATAAAGCCTACAAGATGATTCAAAATATACATAAAAATACAGTTGAAATTCCTATATGCGTTTCTTTTTTGAGAGAGTATATATCTAGAAAGTTTTGCAGCAAAATATTGAACGGTTTTTGAGTTATGCTTCGGAAACGAAGCCCACCCCTCCCTTTAAAACTAAGTCCAAAACGTTTCCATGGAAACCGAGAAAAATATAAATGACAAAAATCTGTAAACCTTAGGTTCTGTTTGATATACCTACCAATTTTTGTTGAAAAATATTGAACGGTTTTTGAGTTATGCTCCGGAAACAAAGTGTTTACGGACGGACAGACGGACGAGGCGTCGACTATAACCCCCCGCATTACATGCCGGGGATAAAAAGACCATGTAAAAAATCTTATTTGTATTTCTTAACACTGTTCATGACACGTCAAACTGATTTTAATGTCTAAAATTTCACTCGCATCTCTTGGTGTGTTTTTGTAATTTATGTGTAATGTTGTAAACGTATTTGCATTTGGTGCAAACGTACGGATACTCTCTCATACAGACGTGACATTATATGGTGTGTGCTCTGACAATGTATGTCACATTATGTGCGCTACACCCCCCCCTTTTTTTTGTCCTGAAAGTTTATTAAATGACCACTGAAACTCGTGAAAACAGATGAAATGAACTATGCATCCCCACTCCACCCCCTTTCCGTTCTCAAATCCGCCCCTGTACATTTACGCAAGCACGCACGCACGCATGTACGCACATACATACATACATACATACATACATAGTGTGCGAAATAGCCACTGGCCCGCTAGCCCGTCGCTAGTAAAATTCCAGTCGGGCCAGTAAATCTCCTGAGTCAGGCCCGACTAGCTAATGAACTTACATGGGGTCATTTTATAAATACATCACTCTCTCCGACTTGTTAACTTATAATACACTTTTAAATCGTGCAAGATTCTGGCCGGAACAAAATGTTCATCATATGGCAGCTTAATGATGAAACCCGTGTCATGCCGACATTATCTTGTTCTCATCTGTTTTTGCTTAGTTTCTACATTCAAATTTCGGGCTATTGAATTATTTTGTGGGATAGTAACTTTAATGCATAGCTAGCCCGACTGACAAGCAAACTTTGGAAATTATTTCGCACTCTGTGTAACATACATACATGATACTACACTGGATGACACGCTGAATTTACAGACAACACTATCAAAATCCATAGGTCGTCACTGCTTTGTACGGTTCAGTTAATCGGTGCATAAATCACTCATCGTCTGTGCGTGTGCGTTTCTTTGTGTTTTTTATCAGATGTGTCGTATATGGATTTGCATGTATTTCTTTGTAAAATAATATATGATGATATACGTGTGCGAGTTGGATTTACAACGGTAACGCGTGAATTAATGCTACATTACACCGCAGTGAGAAATACTAAATGTTGTAAGAATATCACAAATATAATCTGGGCCAGGCGAACCTGCGCATGGTAGACAGACAGCGCAGTGTTAGTGCTCAACGGCCGGCTCTCATGTTAATGAGACACACCGTTTGCCCGGACATTCGATCCTCATGCAAACCCAGATGTGTCACAAGCTGCTGACCCCAAATCGCTCGTGTGTGTGTGTGTGTGTGTGTGTGTGTGTGTGTGTGTGTGTGTGTGTGTGTGTGTGTGTATGTTTATAGGACATCCATGTCTGCCCGTCTGTCTATATATTACAAGAGATTTTATTCGATTTTATTTCCCGACAACATAGGACATCAGCACACAACACGCGCGCGCGCGCACGCAAGCACTCACACACTTACAACACAGCGCATTTCTGTATTGAGTGTTTGAACTTTGTCTCTTTACAAAGTGACCGTTTCACCTGTGTTATATTACTGCTGAGTAATCCGACGTGTATTCAGCGTTTTTCATTTCCGTGATAAGGCCACACGGTCGGTCTATTGATGTTTCCAGTACTTGTGAAACAGTCAGGAAAAGATAAGAATTAACGGCCCCAGGGTTATCACAAACGACCGAGGTACTTAGTACATTGTATATTGACCTTCATCACGTACCTATATAACCCCCTCCCTACTCCCATCAAGTGGTATAGTGTGGGGAAAACACAATGTTGCGGGATATTTTCTTTCATAAAAATTCAAACACATAACCTGTATCAAACAGAGACCAAAGTCAGCAGGCCGATACAATTCTTACTCAAATATTATATGTATTCATAATTATGAACGTTATATACGTTAACGTATAACATAACGTAGGTATATACATATAGATTTCTATAAAAACCCAATGCAACAAAACAAGTACGACAATAACCAACACACTTATCCACAATTCCCACACAGATAGCCAAGTCAACCTGCTAAGAAAAAACATATATTTTCTAACCTTATTTTGTTGTATTGTTTATGATTTCAAAGTATAATTAAGTGCTTGCTTTTTTGTGCTTGTAGTTTCAACAATGCAAGAAAACGATATCATCGTGACATTGAAATGAGGGATAGTTCAGTTGGTACACTGTAAAGAAAAGTCTGTCATAAAACATATACACGTGAAACCAAACACTGCTGTTTGAACAACGTTTGCCTAGAGAAGAGGTTTAACGCAAACTAGGGGAGAATTAAATATAAATAAATGTTGAACAAACGATACATGTTTTAAAAACAACCTCAATGAGAGGGGAAACAGATGCCAATAAAAATTTACATGTCCTGGAATCGAGTGAATGTGAAAATAAAGAAGATTCCGTAAAATCCCTTAAGTATCGTTCCCCTTGTCAAATTTTACCTTATCTTTCCGTTTGATTGTTTTGTATTACATCCAGTTAAGTGGCCCGTTTTATTATAAAAGAGAAGTATATCTCACTTCACATAAACTGTTATTTGCGTAGTATCATTTGACTCATACATGTATTTATAAAGGTACAACCAGTCAGTCATTGTCACAGGGATTTTCATCACAGGATAAATAGCCTCGCTCGAACAGCCATATGTCTACTGTATGAGAGTTCCAAATGCTGGTTAATCAAGAATCGCACCTTGCCGGAAGTAAACAAGGATGGATATGACGTCATTACATGCGCATGCGTATCATAGAGGGTCTGAATGAAAAGTGATGCAGTATTTTGATTAAAAATCTGTCATTAAAATGCCTTTTTTCTCGCAGAATACGCCTTTCGACCAAGATGTCGGTAAGATTTTGATTGTACAATACATTTTCGAGCATGTGATGCTCTATTACGTTGTGATTGTCTCTAGTTTCGGTGTAAATTCAATGTTTCCGGGTAGTCCTACCATAATATGTGGACTATTCCTGTCAGATTTGGGATCTCAGTAAATGTTACATATTTCACACAGACACACTCCGTTGTGACATTAACCTGTCTCTGCATCGTCTACCTTTTGTTCTATCCGTTGTCTAACAGGGATGGATATTACTGTTGATCAAATATTAAGTAAATGTACACCTCACTCCAACTGAATGGGAAGCAGGAGTCCTAACAAGCACAAGAGACTAAACTTACGCAATAGACATCACATCGGTGGTGGTTTTGCCAATATCCATATACTAGACATAAAAATAACACGGTTTAGATGGTATGGTAAATCCTTTATAGCAGAGAGGTATAAATGGAGACAATTTTTTCCAGTGTCAGCCGTGTAATTGTGTCTGATGTAACAAAAGCCTTTGTGATCAGATCAGCTGATTTTTTACTTGACGTTGACTTGACCAGAGTTCAACGTAGTCACTTGTCCATAACTTTGGAAAAGATGAGAAGGCTAGTGATCCATGCCAAAGTAACATGGAGTGAATGTGACAAACACCTTGCCTGGAGTTCATTGTGGATATAGTTGAACTTTCCATGGGATATCTATTTCTGTGAATATATTGTGTGTGTGTGTGTGTGCGCGCGCGTGTGTGTGTGATACTGATACATATTTTAGGTGTGCAAAGTTCATATGTGAAGTTATTGCTTTGCCTGAAGTAATAAAGTGATGTGAACTGAACTACATTTGCCTTGCGTTTATGACATTTTGCCAACGATTGGGAGTAAATTTTCAGATTCCATTTCTGAACACATGATGAAATAGTCCAATTGCAATAATTCTTTTACTAGAAACACTTTTTTGCAGTGTTAGCTGATTGGCAATCAATTTTCAGGGAATTAGACTCAACTCATCCAAGTGTTTGATTATGTATCAACCACAAAATCAGAAGGTTTTGATTGATGGAATTTATAAATATTTTAAATGGTGCTATCAACAACATAAGGCATTAGGACATTTCCATAAGTATATCACTTTTTCATGTGGTTATGTCATTACTATATGTACGCAGCATCGAAATAACGGCTGCCCAAGGCTGGCAACTTTCATGTTGGGCTGCTTGAAAAAATCTCCGTAAGCCCGATTGTATGGCTGATATTTTTAAATACCTCCCTTTTGGAAGCTTAGTATGAATAACACGCGAGAAGATATATTTGAGGTGGGTATCGCTCTAAACTTTAGCTATTAAAAGTTTTGAGAAAATATGTCATTTTGATGATGTAAACTGATATTGGGAATTGCAAGTTTAACATGCTCTTTTCAAATGTCACAGGCTGGGGATGTGACTGAGTATTTAATTTCATGCTTGTTGTTTTTAATTTGCTGAATGAATTCACATTTGAAACAATGATAAATTCAATTTATGCAAGCAGCTTTCAAGACGGGCAGGCAACATTTATCGGTCACATGCCCGACTGTCTGGTTGAGTTTGAAAATTATTTCGATCACTGCATGTACGTTTTTAAGGACATTTTGTCTGACAATAAATCAGTGTCTTAGATAATTAACTCATTTAAATCCTGACTGGTGTTGATGTTGTTTCTTGTTAACTTTACAGAAAAGGCAACCAGTGAAATGAATACAACTGAGGACTGGAGTCTCATTCTTGACATTTGTGAAAAGGTGTCAAGGACACAGAATGGGTATGTCATCATGATAACCTATATGCACAAATAGAGCTCTCTTTTGCAAAACACCCGTGAAGCTCGGGTTAGAATGAACCTTCAGTAACCCATGCTTGTCGTAAGAGGCGATTAATGGGATTGGGTGGTCAGGCTCGCTGGCTTGGTTGACACATGTCATCGGTTCCAAATACCGCAGATCGATGCTCATGCTGTTGATCACCGGGTTGTCTGGTCCAGACTCGATTATTTGCAGACTGCCGCCATACAGCTGGAATATTGCTGAGTGTGGCGTAAAACTAAACTCACTCATTCACTCTTATGCAAGTATCCTTATTCAGTTTTCGAAATTGACTTTTCCTTTTAAAATTGGGGTCATGAACACTCATGAGCAGGGCCGTTCCCTTAGTGTGAATTCATATTGTTATATTTGATCATGTGGTAAGAAAGCAATAAGACGTAACCATTTATTTATCACTCGACATTGCTCACTATTGCACCAAGGCTGATGAACGGTTGTCTACCACTAGTACCAGTGGCGTGTGCAATGTGTATCCTCATCTTTAAGTCATGTCTCATTTTTTTCAATAAGTTTTTGTAAATCCTAGCACCATGTCAGGTGATTTTGTCAGAATATCATGTTTATGGATTTGGCAACCATAAAAATATGTCTGTCTTTTAGGAGTTGTATATGTAACTGATGACAAGAGAGTATGGATGATGTCTTTAGAACATAATTATCAGAATTAAAAAATGATAAAAACATTTCTGTGAAGTATCTAACAGTAATTTAACTTGTGATATTATATATCCCCTGACTGATAAATTGTTGCAATGTACACTCAAACATCACTACAATTCTAACACAGAGGACAATCTTATTGCAAATTATTTTGTTTGTTTCAGATCCAGAGATTGCCTTAAGTCTGTTGTGAAGAGATTAAATCATAGAGTTCCTTTTGTATCCATGCAAGCATTGACAGTGAGTACATGTATTCAAACACTAAAAAATATGGACCACAGACCACCACTGATAGATTTGTGTGTACAATAATGATGGAAGATTTATGGCAGACTTAGGTTATGTTCTGTTGTTTGTGAAAATATTTCTTGTATGAAAAATGATATTATACAACTTGATAATGACAATTGAAATCCATGGAAAGGCCTGGGTTTTGGGGTGATATGTTATGTTTGGGATTACACTTTCTCAGTAGAGTTCAGATTCTGTTACTTTGGGGGATTCAGTCTCTTTCAGGATTCAAACCCACACTCGGGTTGCCTTCAGTTTTAGTCTTCCATATCATGAACCTTGGTAGAGAAAAAATCCTTTGTATATTACCACATGTAACCAACTTATTAGAAAATGAGAGATGGTAGATTTTGATTAATGTGAACATATAGACTGAAACAGTATGTTTTATCCCAGTGAAATGTTGTCACTTCGTGTACCACTGTCTGTATATGATGACTTTCAGCTGTTGGATGCATGTATCAACAACTGTGGACGTCCCTTCCACTTGGAAATCTGCTCCCGGGACTTTGTGTCTGAATGTCGAACTCTCATCAACCAAAAGGTGAACAGATAGGGCAGTGTATTCAAGTATCATTAAGACAGTCATAGTCTCTGTGTCAAAAACGCTATGTCAATCACACTCTTATGTACATCATTCTGATGACATAGATCTAGTCCACATTTGAAAGTCGTTTTATATCTTACTAATACATGTAGAATAGTAACAGCGTTGGAATTAGGTGAGGAGTATGAAGGATTAAATCTTCCAGTTAAACTTTCAGGATCATCAACTAAATCAGTAAATGGTCTGCATTCCTCAACCTAAGATTGTGTATAAGTGAAAAAGAACTTGGTTATATTTTAGATTTCATTTAATTGTAGTAGATATTGGACAGGTAGAGTATCTAAGGATGAAGGGTTACATGTTGACTTTGTTACTGTGTTGTTCACTTCGTTTCACCATGTTCATGGGCATTGGGGTAGCCTATTAGTTAAAAAGGTCTCTGGTGATGCAGAAGGCCTGGGTTCGATTCCACACAGTACTACAACATGTGAAGCCTATTTCTGGTGTCACTTGCTGTGATGTTGCTGGAATATTGCTAAAAGCAGTGTAAAACCCAACTTACTCACTTATCATGTTCATGATTTAAAGGATATAATGTTGGTTTCCAGGCTCATCCTAAGGTGGCACAAAGGTTGCGTTTTATGATAAAAAAATGGGCAGAAATGTCAGAGTTCAAGGATGACCCTGCACTCAAGTAAGTCAGTTTTGTTTTCAGCATCTGTCTTACATGTGGTGTTTTATGTAGACCTGGCAGAGTGCTCTTATTCCTTACTATAGAACACTCACTGATGCCAGTAGATAGGTATTGATGGTGTGTATATGTGAGGAAATATGAAGGTGAGTAATGGAAGTGTTTTTAACTGTTTCAGCTTAATTCCATCATTCTATGACAGTCTCAAGAAGGAAGGAACTGATTTTTCTGATCCTGATGCAGGGGTATGTATGATTGTCTTCTTTTGATCTTGATTGTGTTTGCTTGTTTGATTCACATGTTTAACTGTGATTTGGAAGGTTATTGTTTCATCACAAACAAGTTTGAATTAAATAAACTTTAATGGACATGCTTTGGTTTAAAATTCCTATGAATGAATGTGACCCATTTTGACATTGTTAAAAATTTGGATAATGAATAGGCTCTACAGTTGATCATGTTTGTGTTTTTTAGGAAGAAATATGTTTTCAAATATAACAGCTGTTTGATTCTAAGAATGTAAACTTATTTTGTTATATTTAGTTTCATATTATTCATACAGTTGTACAGGATTTGTAAGTGATTTGTTTGATGTTTTTTATTTACAATCTGACCGCCTCCGTGCTGTAGTGGTTAGAGTGTCCGCCCGGAGAGCGGAAGGTCGCACGTTTGTTCCCCAAAGACGTCATACCCAAAGACGTTAAAATATGGTACTTGTTGGGCCCTGTCTTTTGCTCAGCATTAATGGGTACATCAAGGACTGGTCGGCTCGGAGTCAGTATAATGTGTCTGAGTGGGGCATTCATGCTTAACTGCGGCATGGTATCTCAGTGAGTTAGCACTATAATACCAGCTTAAGACTGGGCTAGTACAAGCAGCCACACATACCTACGCATGCACATTGTCATATGAGCGAAACATTCTTAAATGCGACATTAAGCCCCATTTCACGTCACCACTTATTTACAATCTGTGGATAAATGTCATGTTGAAAAGTCCTGGGACAAGGGAACAGTGAAGATATATGAACAAACATTAGAAATAGTATCACATCTATGATCCTTGGTCTTCCAGCCAAAGAAAGTTGAGACTACCGTTCGAGAAGGACAACAGGAGGAGGATGATATTGCCAAAGGTGAGGTCTGGTGAATCACTACCAATATGAGTAAAAATACTATGGTGGTAACCCAGCAAAGAGTAGGTCCCCAGTGCTCCATGCTTGTCTGAAGAGACAACCACAAAAGCAATAATAGTTTCTAATTGATAATCCTTGGAGCAGTGCTCCAGAATATTTTCTGTTATATGAGTACAGTAGTGGTCATTATCTCGCCAGTTGTCCCAATTTTGACAGTGATGGATGGTATGTGGCACTGTTCTTGTCTTATCTGGAAGGAGATAGAAATGCTTGGGCAAAGTACCATATAACTTATCATGGGAGTGGATGATATATACTTGGTAAAATATTTTGGGACAAATCTTGAAAGTGCCATCCATTGAAACAGCATCACTTTCACACAATCTGGATAAACTAGAGAGTTAAAAAAACAATGATCCTACTACCGCTGTTGTCATCTACCAGTAGGAAGTCTTCTCCTTGGTCTCTTGTAGCCCATTCTCCATCATTCTCCAGACTTGACTTGATACTCTCATACATCTGAAAACAGGCTGCAATCTCTTGAGGTGTTGCTTCTTCATACGCATCCAAAATCTTTCTCCTTTCTTTCTCCTAAATCTTTGGTACACTTGCCAGCTCTTCTCGTGCCTGTTTTGTTCATATTACTGGTATGGATATCGGGAACCAATAGAGCTGTACTTCTGTACTTCTCTCAGTTGATTGCATTCACATAATTACCCTTAATTGGTACAGCTAGTTATCCCAGTTTGACAACGAAACTTCACACACCTTAACGGATCAGCGACAAAGATGCTGTCAAATATGGGGCACTACCTGTTACTTCCAGTTTGTAGTTCTAGTGGGACATTGTGCTGCCATCAATGATCGTTCAGAGAACTTGTGTTGTACATTCTGATTTTGGTGTGAAACAAATGTGCGCATAACTGAGACAAGATAGTTCAAGTGGGTTATTATTAGGACTAGCTGAAAACATTATTAATCAGACATAATGCCAATTGGAAAAAAGATATGATTGATTATCAATATGAAAACTGTGTCATCAATAATATATAACATAAATTATTGTAATAAGAAAGTTATTTACCAAAACACACTCAGGTCAAAGACAATACAATCTGCCAATCACATGTCAGACTGAATAGTCTACTCATTTATAGTTGTTAGAAATCCATGCATAAATGTGTTGTCGCTCACCATTGTCACTGGGCAGTGACATGAAATATTTTGAGTTTTTTCACACAAAAATATTTGTAGTCAACTGTATGAGTATGTTATGTTAACTAGTGTAGTTTAACACACCTATACACATTGTTTACAGCCAATCAGGAAGCAGTAGTCTGATAATCAGCCATGTACTATGTTTAGGTTGCTGATAGCAAAGGCAAAAACTGGCTTTGTTAGACAATCAAGTGCCGTAGAATAATGTGCAATTCATTGTTGTTTAACATTTTCCAGCTATTGCACTGTCCCTGCAAGAGGCAGATAAATCTGCCAAGACAACCAGTCTGTACCCAACTAGTTTTAACACGTCTACAGGAGGAGCATCAGCCGTGTATGCAACACCTAGACCCAGAGAACCTAGGAAGGTTTGTTGTCAGCACGATCATTTCTTTTCTTAATTAAACAGCCACGGTAATAAGACCAGTGAAGATCTGGGTTTGAATTTGGTCTTCAGCAACCCATGCTTGTCAAAAGCGGCAACTAAGGGGATCAGGTGGTCAGGCTTGCTGACTTAGTTGGCACATGTCATCGCATCCCTTATTGTGTAGACTGTTGCTCGTGATGTTGATCACTGGATTGTCTGGTCCAGACTCAATTATTTACAGACTGCCATCGTATAGCTGGAATATTGCTGAGTGCGGCGTTAAACAACAGTCAATCAACCTTGTTAGTAGACACTGGGGCGGAATCAGGGTGGAGGTTGATTTGTTCCTCTGTCATTGTTTTGTATTATGTCTTGTTTTCTATTCTACCCTTTTTGATTATGTTGGTGTTGAAAATGAGGACTCAAGAGAATCTGTTGCATACAGGGGAGACAGATCTTGGTGAAGACAGTAGGTGCAATTCATGTAGGCCATGCTATCCTCAGCCTTCTCTGTGGTCATGTATTACATTGGGCATTACGTAATAACACAGAAAGGGGCCAGGCCATTCACTGATAAATGAATGCAGCTATCAGTCATGAGTTCAAGGCTGATGGTAGTACTTGTATTTGATATTGCTTTGAGATTCCTCTATATGACAACCCAGTCTTTGTGGAAACGTTCTGCCATCTTATTGTATGTATGGATTTGTTCAGCTAAGAGGCAATGTTCTCTGAGTCACTGGCTCCAGGTTATGTTGTTGAATGTTGAATATTAGTGGTGATAGCACTTCCCAGAACTGTAATGCTGCAGGTACTACACTCAGGTATGTGTGTATAAAGAGCAATACTGTACATGAAGTCAGGTAACATGTGCTTTACTAAATCTTTGTTTTAACAGGTTCGAGCATTGTATGACTTTGAAGCTGCAGAAGATAACGAGCTCACATTCAAGGGTGGAGAATTAATTAGTGTGTTAGACGACAGGTAAGTCTTCCTTTCTTGAAAACTTCACAATAGTCATTGTTCAAGGTAGCATCCAACTCACTCTCAAGTCATCATGGGTTAACCTGACTGGTTATGTTATAATTTGTATTTACTATTACATTGTGTAGTTATTCATTTCACAGAAGTGAGAGTCAGGAGTAGGATTGAGAAACATAAACACTGTTGGTCAAACAAAATATATATTGACAGGCTATTCCCTACGACAGTCTACAGTGTAGTCACTTGTTTGTTATTGAGTACAGAATCAGACTTATGAGGCAGGTGTGTGAAAAGTTGCATGATTGGTTGTCGGTCTGGAAGTAGCTAGATGTAAATTCAGAAGCTTTTGTCTTCTATTGACACATAGTGACTTGAGTCTGGTTGAGACAGATTGCTCTGTGACTTCAAAGTGGGTCAAAATTTGACTCTGTACTCTTGTGTTATCATGAGCATGTTCCTTAATTATAGTTGTATGTCTGATGTTGTGTGATACTATTGTGTGTTTTGTGATACAGGGATCACAGCCTTATGTCATGTGTCTCATACAGATTACTAATCATGCTAATTAAGGGACCGTTCATAATTTTATGCTTGAAAATTATTTGATTTTGTACATGGCATGGGGGGTCATTTACTCTGTACATACATGGGGTGGGGTGGGGGGGTCACATTCACATTGTACATGCTTCTCCATTAAATTAACCATTATCCCCCCTTGCCATAAATCATGTAGGGTCCCTAGGGTTAACATGGCTGGACATTATCATGATTATTGATTGCAAATCATGAACAGATGCTGTTAATTTCTAGTTTGATACAGCTCATGTTTAATGGATATATCAGTACCTGGGTATCACAATACTACATTTGATATCACTGCTTACTTCATATATCCTACTGTTTTGTGCTATTTCAGCACAACACAGTGTTACCTACTTTTCTGTGGAGGCGTATTGTCAGTCAGGGTTTAAGTTGTCTCCCCTTTGCTTCTGTAGTGATCCCAACTGGTGGAAAGGTTTTAACCACCGTGGTGAGGGACTGTTTCCAGCCAACTTCGTCACTGCAGACCTGTCGGTAGAACCAGAAGAAAGTAAGTATTTAGATCCATGAAGTTTGCAAGCCACTGATGTGAGATACCTGTTTGTGTTGTAGTATAGACCAGGTGCCCTGTACAGAATTGTCTAGTATCGATGTATCGGTGTTTATGTGCTGGTTAGAACCTGGACTTTACTGTCAGGGACCTGCTCAGGTGACCCTATTCAGCCCCATCTGCTGTTTGGGCAGTGTAAAGGCAACTTACTGCTGATAACAGGAGCAATAAAGATGAAGATGCTGTAATGCTTCATTTATTTTTTTTCACTGAAAGCAATGTGTAAATACCCCAGAATATGAGAAAAAACAACCTTTGAGTAAAACAGTTTCCTAATTTGCCAAGAGCACTTAGTTTAGCATCCTAAATAAATCCCATGTCTCATCACACTCCCAATGCCAATGAGCTAAGGGCAGCAAGACGATTTTTTCCGGTATAACTGAAATATTACACTCAAGACACTAGTTATCCCCCCGCAAAACCCGTATTAAAATGGACTCTGTCCGTTCATATTTGTCTTTTCCGGAGCAGAACTTTAAAACCGTTCAATATTTCTTCACCGAACTTGGTGCATAGATTGGTCTGAATTAAATATTTTTGGCGTTTCCATGGCAACAAGTTTGACTGAGACTGAAATTGGTGTTGGTGCACTTTTCCGGAGCAGAACTCTAAAACCGTTCACTATTTCTTCACCGAACTTGGTGCATAGATTGGTCTAGTGGTGTACTGGTGCCTTTTAGTAGTTTTGGTATTCTGAATTAAATATTTTTTTGCATTTCCATAGCAACAAGTTTGACTTAGACTGAAATTGGTGGTAGTGCTCTTTTCCGTAGCAGAACTCTAAAACCGTTCACTATTTCTTCACCAAACTTGGCACATAGATTGGTTTCGTGGTGTACTGATGCCTTTTGGTAGTTTTGGATTTCCGAATGAAATATTTTTGGCATTTCCATGGCAACAAGTTTGACTTAGACTGAAATTGGTGGTAGTGCTCTTTTCCGGAGCTGAACTCTAAAACAGTTCACTATTTCTTCACCAAACTTGGCACATAGATTGGTCTGGTGGTGTACTAGTGCCTTTTGGTAGTTTTGGATTTCTGAATAAAATATCTTTGCATTTCCATGGCAACAAGTTTGGTGGTAGTGCTCCTTTCTGGAGCAGAACTTTTAAAACCTTTCAGTACTCTCCTTCCACTTTTCTATATACACACCAAAACATTTGACATAATCATAACTCGTAGACATATTCATGAAGAGTATTTTGCCGTTGAGGGGGATATTGATGACTTTGTCTTTTTCTTATTATTGTTGTTTGAAAACTGAACCACTCAATGATAAATAAGATATTATCTTCGTGTCAGATGACATCAAATTCTGAGGCATGCAGTAGAGTTTGAACTTTTATTGATGAATGAGATCCTCTATGTATTACCTATGCTGACATGCTAATCAAGATTTTCTGTCTCTATTTGACCCTGCAGCTAACTCTGTATGCCTCATTGCAATACTCCAGAATGGATGGATATAGGTTATATGAATTGTTATGGCTCAAAATAACCTTATAATATTTCTTTAGCCTGATAAATTTGGTGGTTAACTTCAACCGTTTGTAATACCATCCCATGATGTTAGTTCTGAGTGAAGAGCCTTGAAACACAAGTGTAACATTTTTTTTTTGTAGGCAAGCCTGAAAAGAAGACTGTACAGTTTAATGAACAAGTAGAAGTGAAAACTGTTGAACCGTTGCCAGACGAGGTGGAGATAGATGAGGTGAGTAGACTCAGCAAGTGTTACTTACTGTGAAGGTTGGCATTCTTAAAGCATCCATTATGGAAGTCAATTGAAAATAGTGAAAACAAGGCACTGGCAGCCGACCTCTTTTAGTGTTATGTCAGTGTGAGTTTGAGAACTACTGAGTGAGTGAGTGAGTTTAGTTTTACGCCGCACTCAGCAATATTCCAGCTATATGGCGGCGGTCTGTAAATAGTCCAGTCTGGTCCAGACAATCCAGTGATCACAAGCATGAGCATCGATCTACACAATTGGAATACTATGACATGTATCAACAAAGTCAGCGAGTCTGACCACCTGATCCCGTTAGTCGCCTCTTACGACAAGCATGGGTTAATGAAGATCAATTTTAACTCGGCTATTGAGAACTACTGAAGGGTTGAGGTTCTTCTGAAAATATTTAATGTTCAGTATATGTTCATTACTTTGTTTATTCTGACATAATAGAATAGTTCTCCAGAAATGATGCTGTACACAGGAATTGACCAATCAGATCAGGGGATCAGACTTGGTGACTTCGTTAATTACCTTACTATATCCCAGTGGTGTGAGTTGTTGCTTACAATGTCAGTCACTGGGGTTTATTCATTGAAGATTGTAGTCTCATTAGTATTTTATGATGACCTTTCAGAGTAAGATAGATGAGACGTTACAACTGATACAAAATGCAGATCCCACTGGTGAGACGCAGCCAGATTCCCAGGAACTCCTGAACCTTGAAGGTATCTCACATTTAACCACTGTCTTCTTAACTGTTGTGTTACTAACATTTTTATGCGGGGGGATGTAGTCGACGCCTCGTCCGTCTGTCCGTCCATGGTCTGTCTGTCCGTCCGTCTGTAATCATTTTGTTTCCAGAGCATAACTCAAATTCCCTTCATTATTTTTCAACAAAAATTGGTAGATATATCAAACAGAACCTAAGGTGGTGCCTTTTGCTGTTTACAGATTTTGTGTCACTTATATTTTTCTTGGTTTCCATGGAAACGTTTTGGACTTAGTCTTAAAGAGGGGTGGGCTTCGTTTCCAGGGCACAACTTGAAAACCGTTCAATATCTTTCAACAGAACTTGGCAGATATATGAGACAGATCTTGAAGTGGTGCCTTTTGCTATTTACAGATTTTTGGCATATTTATTTTTCCCGGTTTTCATGGAAACGATTCGGACTTAGTCCCAAAAGGAAGGGTGGGCTTCGTTTCCGGTGCACAACTCGAAAAGCGTTCAGTATCTTTCAACAGGACTTGGCAGATATATTGGGCAAATTTTGAAATGGTGCCGTTTGCTATTTACAGATTTTTGGCATTTATATTTCTCATGATTTCCATGGAAACGATTTGGACTTGGTTTAAAAAAAAGTCAAGTAATTCTCAGATGAATTGTTCTTTCAAATATGTGGGGGCCGGGGGGATATGTCATCTTCTGATGACTCTTGTTTTGTATTTTTATCAGAAATACTATTGAAAGTGGCATTGCATTAAATCATTTGTGAATGAATCTTTTCAATTTTGTTACAGAGCAATGTAAAGTAATGGGTCCATTGATAGATACCGAACTAGAGAAGATAGATAAGTAAGTATGTAGTCTACCGTAAAATGAATTGTAAGTGTTAAAGTCTTAAAGTTACTACTTTAAAAGAGCTGCTATGAACATGTGTCTACAGCTTGTGTTGTGGAACCTGCTCTAAATGTTTATAGTTGAGAAGTTTCCAAGCGATTTGACATGAATGTGTATATTGCGATTCTATTTGTATCATAACCTATGTATCTTGATACACATCCTAACTATGCAGTATTGTATCAGGCCTTGTTACTGGTACAGTGTAACTATTATTTATACTGCTATTTACAAGTGTTTTAAAGATTCAGCGCCTGACATGTTTCTCGTCCATGTTTTCAGGAAACATGCTCAGCTGGTCGACCTGAACAAGAAGGTGATGGAGGCACTGCAGATGTACCACTCACTGATGAGGGAGAACCCAGCATTCAACTACACCATGAAGGGGCCACAGGGCTTCACTCCAGGCATGATGCCCCCAGCACCAGCACCAGCTGCAGCTCAGATGACACAGGTAAAACATCCAAGCACTTGTACAAGGAATCTCACTTAGAAAGGTTGCCAGTAAGGGACCGTTCATTATTTATGACTAGAGGGGATGATGATGAATTCTATGGAGAAGCATATACAATGTGAATGACACTCCATGGATTTCAGCTAGTTAGGAGAAATGACTTCTTGACGCAAGTGATTTTTTTATGGAACCATTTCCTACTCTTCTTACCGACGCGGTCATGTTTCTATATTTTTCTATGACAGATTTAAGAAAATATTCACAATGCTTGTATTGTGTTTTTCATATGAATATTTTGGGATTTGTCTCCACAGCCAATGTACAATGGACAACCTCAATATGCTACTCAAGGCCAAATGCCCTCTGGTCCAGGGCAGGTGCCACCAGCGCAAGGTCAGATGCCACAAGGTCAAGGTCAGATGCCACCAGGATCAGTGATGCCACCACCTCAGAGTTTCTCACCCCCACTCTCTAGTCAACAACAACAACAACAATATTCCAGGTAACATTGAACACTTCAGCTGTTTACATTCTCACTGATCCTGGGTTTGAAATCCAGAATCATGCATGTTATGATATTTGGTCATCAGTGGTGAATGTATTCAGGCACATTTCTTTACATACTAATATATTACTGAATTACTGTTGAAGATAAGAACATATTGCTCACAAAAAAGGAAAAGGTTGGCATGCATGTATCAGGGGTGGAAATAACCCATTGCCCGACGTCTGAGTCCAGTGTTTTTTTCTGTGGGGCAAGCAAAATTTGTATATCACACTGTACCGGTGTCCAGTTGACTTTCCAATGTTAATTATGTTGTTTATTAAAAAAATCAGCAAGAAAACGGTCGGTATAGCGGAAAAATTATCAGGGCAAGTGACTTTACATGTGCCACTGTACCGGAGTACACTATCAATTTTAAAGGTATTTTCCACCCCTGATGTTTATTTTATTTACTGTAACCCCACATGGGTAGATTGTGTGAAACACGTTTCTGGAATATTGCTAAAAGTGATGTAAAACCAGACTCTCTTACTATTAACTGTAGTCTTTGTCAAATGCTGTATCCACACATTTCCTCTTAAATCATCATTTTTCAGGAAACATGAAAACACCTTTGACAAGAATGCACATTTTCTTCACAGCCTCTCCACTCAAATGCCACAGTCGACATATGCTAGCCTACCCTCAGCTAACAATTTACCAATGGCCTCCGGTCCCACGAATCTGCCACAGCAGCCTGTTCAAAATGGCGGTGCTATGCCCACACAGTTAGCGGGGCAGACAGGGAGCTATCAAAGTCTGCCGCCTCAGACAGTGTACCAGCCTCCTCTTCAGCAGCAGCCATTACTGTGAGTCAGGAGTGGACAAGCTTGTATGTGCAAAATGGGGATGTCTTTGTGCTCGTCATTTCATGACTCCAATCGGACGCAATCAGTGATGAAGTGACAGAGATTTGATTGTGTGACAGTGTGTACAGCCTTGCCATTACAGTTGTCACAAGGAAGCATGAATGTAAGCATGGATTTTAACATGCATGTGTAACATGTAACACAGGCATTGGAATGTAGCTACCTTCCTGTAAGGATTCAAAAGATAATTTATAAAAGCCTAATTTTATATTCTTCTCCTTGCTGATTAATTTTCATAATGTTGATGTTCCTATGGTTGAATGCCCATCAAGAGAACAGGAAGAGCTACCTTTGTTTCATTCGGGTACAATTGATTTTTAATGAAGATGCCATTTATCATCATTGTTTTTGATTTTGAACAGAACTGAAGATGATTTTTCTCTTACAGTGTTGTGAAAACTGCATGGTGACAAAATGGCTTCTGAAGTAATCTCATTTTACGTCATGTACAAAAATACAACCCTCCTTATGCATTTCGTGATTTAGAAAGTCCCTTACCGATTCCATAATTCTGAAGTGTGAAAAGGGGGTTGCCCCATAACTGTAATTAAATTATTCCTCATATGCAAGAAAATATCTTACTTCTCATTGTGCTTACGGTACTGCAGAGTGATGACAAGTGGCCACCGCATGAATGAGACAATGCACAGTTTATCATGACTTGTTGTGGTACATTTCAAAGTGACTGAAACATGTATCTGTGAAGTTATGTTGTGAACAAATAGTCTTGTTTTGGTTTCTCATTTCCTTGGAACAGTGTATGTCAGTTTGATCCTCATTTCATAATGCACACTCTCTCACTCTCTCTCGACATGTTCCTTAGTACCTCAGTCATTTATTTGTTTATATTGAAATGCACATGGTTCATTTAGATTTATGGCATTACCTAACAATGTTTTCACCCATTCATGTGTAGCTTTTCATTTTCTTTTATACTGTTAATTAAGATTGATGTAAATCCAAAATGTTATATATCATTCTGGAATTTAGTACTAATATTCATGTAAAATGAAGAAAGACTGAATGTACATTGGTTACACCCAAGTATAAGTTCTTTAAGAATTGGTATAAATACCTGATGATTTATAAAATGAGCATGGAATTTTGTTATGTGATACTCAAAAAGATTAAAGGACGACCTGATTCTTTCATATACTATGAAGAATTTAGGTGGTGCTTAACCTTTTTAGTAGTATATCATGCCCCATGTGCACATGTATCAAAGGGTAATTGTTCCCACTGATCTTCTTGTGAAAGGAGGGTAGAGCTCAGACTCCATTATGGGGATTTTCATGTTTGAAGAGTCAACATAGGCAATTTTGCAGTTTTGGCCAGTTTTAAAATCCAAATATACATTCTGCTGAATGATATGTCATCATGATCATCCTGTACTAATTTTGAAACGCAAGGAGTAGCATAAGTCTAAACTTGAACAACATAACATTAACAATTTTCAGTGTTGCCCTAAGATTGTCAGTTGCTAGGATGGTGAAGCAATACTGTGTCTCAATCCGATCAGCCCTGGTTTGACTGTGAGTAGAATGTGTAACGTGTGATAAAGAGTCTGCAGGAAACACGACATCACCACCTTTAGCCAGACAAACGCCAGCTAATCAAAATGTGAGTTTGTCAAAGTCACAAACTGAAGCTTGTATTCTTCAAAAACATTGCCTGGTGTATAAAGTGAATCTTAGTCTACACTTAGCACCCAACAGTGTGATAAAAGGCAGTAAGTATCTCTCCTGTTTCATTAATTCAAATAAATATTCCACAAAATCCAAGCAAATTTGGGCATATATACATATATATATATATTGTCTCTATGTTTCAACTGGAGATTACTGAGAGGCAGCTGTTAGGCTGAGATATTTATCATTGAGAAAAAGAGTCTGCCATAGATCTCAACAAGATAATGAGTTCTTTGAATATGTACATGAGAAAATATTTTTGAATAATCTTTATGTGATGCAAAGGTTGAAGAGTTGTTGTTTTGTTAAATGCAAGCTTGCTGAATGTTACTGATTCGGATAAATGTGATGCACTGTTTAGACTCTGGTTATGTGATGCACTGTGGTGGTCACCAATACCCAAGGCTAAGATAATACTGAATGTTACTGATGGACTCTATCGGTTATGTGATGCACTGTTGGTGGTCACCAATACCCAAGGCTAAGATAATACTGAATGTTACTGATAGACTCTATCGGTTATGTGATGCACTGTTGGTGGTCACCAAAACCCAAGGCTAAGATAATACTGAATGTTACTGATGGACTCTATCGGTTATGTGATGGCATGTTGTTGATAATACTTTTGTTACAGTAATTAATTGCAAGCTAAGATAATACTGAATGTTACTGATGGACTCTATCGGTTATTATGTGATGCACTGTTGGTGGTCACCAATACCCAAGGCTAAGATAATACTTGCTGAATGTTACTGATGGAGATAATCTGAATGTTACTGATGGACTCTATCGGTTATGTGATGCACTGTGGTGGTCACCAATACCCAAGGCTAAGATAATACTGAATGTTACTGATGGACTCTATCGGTTATGTGATGCACTGTTGGTGGTCACCAATACCCAAGGCTAAGATAATACTGAATGTTACTGATGGACTCTATCGGTTATGTGATGCACTGTGGTGGATGCACTGTTGGTGGTCACCAATACCCAAGGCTAAGATAATACTGAATGGGGAATGCTTGTTGTAAGAGGCAGCAAACGAGATCAGACGGTCAGGCTCGCTGACTTGGTTGACACATGTCATCGTGTCCCAATTGTGTAGATGGATGCTCATGTTGGTGATCACTAGATTGTCTGATCCAGACTCAATTATTTACAGAACGCCGCCATATGGCTGGAGTGCAGCGTTAAAAAAACAACCAACTGAATGTTGGGCTCTAGTTGTCCAGCCAGCTGAAGCCTGCAGTTTACTGTGCAGAGTTACATCCTTTTGGTATGCCTGAAACCTGCTATCATGGGTTCAGGTTCCAGTTTGCCTTGACTGTGTAGCTTGGTTTGTCAGCACCATGCATGCATTATGAAACACCCTCGTATCCATAACACAGAATAAAGACAAAGTAAAATCATATTTTCCATGGACATAGCAGAACACAAAGAGCGTTATTGAGAGGGATGACTGTATACTAAAATACTGTTCCAAGTGGTGTTAAAGACAACTCACTAATATTTTTAGTGCTGAATGTAGAGGAAATCCCTTTAAACAATCCTTGTATTATCATGCATACATACCTCAGTCAAGAACACATGTTGGAAAGCTAGGTTTATGATTAGTTGAGCCATGACAACTGCCAATGTGAAGTCCCATGGGACATGTTACAGCTAAGAGACAGGTAGTTTTGTCATAGCAAAACATCTCTTTATATGTGCAATTATGGCTAACCTTACCCAAGTTTTTGTTGAGACTCAAGCACTGTATATTTACCGTACTAGTATAACCCAGTAGATTTTTTAACTTGCTGTACACATTTGAAAGGCAGTTTTCATGAATAGTCATGAATTGTGAATACACAATGCCATTTGGAAGGTGGTCAAATGTAACATATGTGGAGTCCCATTCAGGGAAATCGAGTGGTAGCTGGCGGCTGGCTTTGTGTGCTGGTGATTAGGTGCCACACTGAGGGTGTGGGTTCGAATCCCAGATGGGACTAAACCCAACAAAAGTACTAGAATCAGTACTTCACTAAGAAAGTGTAATCCAAACTATAACATATGTTACAGGCATGTATTGGTTTTCATTTGATGGTACATGAGTACGGTATAACAGATTCCTGTAGTCCATATGTTCAGTATTTCTTGGTTTACACTTTTGTTTCAATATTTTTACAGCAAGATGGATTGGAAAATATGATTTTCTGATTTATTGATTTCACAAATGGTATCTAAGATGTGAGTTACTTGACCTTTTTCATTGCAGTTTAACCTATTCACAAATCATTTGTGGTCAACAGATCTCGAGGAATCTATAAACTAAATTTATTACAAAATCTTGCAGTAGTTATGAGCTTACACCATGAAACCAACTGTTTCTCAGGTAGTCAGGCTCTCTATTATAATAAGAATGGTGCACAAATGGACCTTCTTTAGCAAATCTGAACTGATTTATAAAGAGATGAAATAAAGAATGAAAACCAAATTTGGTAATTTTTTATGTGGTTGAAATGGTAATTACAAGTGGAATGTGGTAATTACACGTGAATGCTATGTTATACAGAGATCTCTGTAGCACTGCTTTTGTTAGCATTCCCCACACTGACAGTACAGATGTAAATTACTGTGTTTGGAATTAAATCCTGGTTATGTAAAAGTGGATATTGGATGTTCCCATCTGGTGTTGCACTATTACATGAAATGTATGTGATATATGTGTGTATGTTGCAGGAAATGTACATAGCTTGATGTATTTGCTTTCATTAGCAAATGATGAATATTAATATATTTGCCGATGATTTTATTGTACATTTCTTATGTCTTTCTTGTGTACAGATATGCCATGATTACGACCATTTGTAAAGTGTATTCACTGAGGTGCAAATAGTGGACTTTCGGTTTGGCCAAGGAGCCAGAGATTTCCCAGCAGATTATCACTTTGGATTTAGTATTATGCTCACTGGAAAAATAAGAAGTTTATCTCCACAGATAAGAGATAATCCTTGTAGATGGGTGTTATGAGAACCCATGGCCTTGTGTCATCCCACAGTTTGCCATTTGCCATATGTTTAAACTGAAATATTTATTCGTTTAGTCATGATGGGATTGGCAAACAAGCATAAAAACATGCTTATATCAATGCCGCTCCCTAACAATGATACAATAGTATTAACAATTATAATTGTGATGTACACATGAGCTGGGTGCAAAACATAATGTGAATCTACAAGGAACAATATTGACAATGTAATGTGTTACAATTTGCAAACATACGTTGAAGACAAATAAACTAGAAGCTGTTGTGATCTCAGTATAACAGCAAGGCACGGCATGTACAATAAAACTAGGCTAGGTAAATTGCGAGAATCTCTGGGAAGATATGATATAGTTATGTACCGATTTTAGTAGTTCCAGATTTACCTGTTCTGATGAGCCCGAATGACCAAATAAGATTGATGGCAAATTAAATCCTCTACTAAAGAAGTATGCATTTGATCTTATGTCGTTAAATATGGGACAGATGAGGGAGAAATGAAGCGCATCTTCGGTGTGATGCCCGCAGTTACATTCAGGACTATCAGATATATATCTGGAAAAGTTATCTCCATTTAGATCGCTACACCCAAGCCGAAGTCGGGAGTGGATTATCCGGCAAGATCTTGAACCATGGGAAAGATGAAAGTGCATTTCACTAAGCTTTTCACTAAGCGCCACCAATGCTTACTACCGTACGAGTCGTTTATCTTACTATCGATTTTAGAGACATAATTTTTCTTTGCTGTGCGCACAGCCGATATAACTTTATTTCGAAGTTTACGAAAGTTAGCCCAATCGGAGGGTCGGTTGCGTCGTTTAGCGGTTTTGTGTACACGGTTACGTTTTCGTTTCAAACTACGCACTTCGCCAGACATCCATAACGGATCATTGGGTCGAATAGTAATTGTTTTGTTTGGGATATTATTAACACAAACCTCTAAGAAAGACTTAGAGAACGAGTTTGCTGCTTCATCAATTGTGTCAGATGACAAAATATCTTGCCAAGGAACTGAAGTTAAGCTTTCAATAAGGTTGTCTTTATCAATCATGTTCAATCAATCATATAAACCGTCCTTCTAAAAGTAATATGGATCAGACAGGCCTGAACATAACACGCTATCAACATTCGATACAAACAACAAGTCAATCAATAGATTCTATTAGCAAATCATTAGATGAACAGTGTAATTGCGCAAGGCTTATTCTGAATTTTCTTGCGTTTAACACTGACAGATACTGTTCTTTGTGGATAGATTGTTTAATCATTTCATAGTAAAAACTATTGCTGGAAAGAGAAAAGTTTTCATTCCAGTTTTGCATGTACATATTTTTAAGTCGTTGTTTAACAGATAGCAGAAATAACACGTGAGATTTTATATGCTGTTCACACCATGCATTACCAAACCCAATAGAAAATAATCATTCTTTTATGTTTGTGACCACATTCCTTTTCCCATTTCTATCATAAACAATAATCATATTATAACATTTTTGGGGTAATCTGCTAGGAGTCATACTCGATAATTTTTACCAATATTGAACAACTTTCCTATTTGCTTCAGTATATAGGGAATCTACCACACTCCCCATGTACTGCTGAATTAAATGTAGAATTTTCACCCCAAGATATTTCTTACAAGCATATAAATGAACTTTTTTCTATCGGATCGGACGCTTTGATTCCCCAGATCTTAGCCCCATACAAAAGGATAGGGCATATTTTAGCAGCAAAAGTCTCGAAAATAGAGTTGTATGATAAGTCACCAAGTGTTTATATTTCATTTCATAATGCCTATTAAAATCTTTTTACCTTGCAATGAGGCTTGAATTGTATGCATGGATCATGAAAGATGGTTTGTAAAATTAACACCTAAATATTCATATGAATTTCTTACTTCAATAGCATCACCTATGTAATACCATTTTTCACCTTTTGCCAATTTCCACCATTTTTTAAAACAACTATTTTTGTTTTAATTTTATTAACAGTCAATATTTATAATCATTGCAGTAATTGTCTAATTCATTTGTCAAATTTTGTAGAACACCTATTATACTAGAGAAGAGTATGATATCATCAGCAAATAGTAATAAAACTTTTTTGAATTATATCTGGATGTAACTGAATTCCATTTGTACAGTTTCTTTGGATCTGGATCGCCAATTCATTGATGAAAAAGGAAAATAAAAAAGGGCCTAGGATACAGCCTTGTTTGACTCCGATAGTAGTGTCTGACCGATCATTATTATTTCTGACACATATCTTTACATTTTCATATATAATACGCAATATTTTGTTCATTTTAGAACTAACACCGTGTCTAAGTAAAATATTCCATAATTTATCTCCACAAACCGAATCGAACGCCTTTGCAAAATCCACAAAGTGAACATAAAATCTCCCCCCCCTTTTGATTTAAGTATTTCTGTACAATTGTATGTAAAATAAATATGTTATCAGTGGTGGTGTATCCTTCTCTAAAACCGGCTTGTGATTGACTTATTTTATCAAACGTGTCAGCCCAAAAGACTAGCCTTTTATTCAATATGGATGTAAATATCTTACTAAATACGCTCAAGAGAGTATTGCCTCTATAGTTTTCTGTGTTATTCAAGCCACCTTGTTTATGGATCGGGACGACAATACCCACAGACCACGAATTTGAGAAATGTCCATTTTCAAATATCACATTAAAGCTTCAGATTTCATCAGTCTTAAGCGACTTCTTATTGCCTACTTCTTATTGGGCAGAAGTCCATAAACTAAGGGGCACATCTTGTCTTCCACGAAATCACGAATAGTGTATATTTGTGCAAAAATCGATGGACACCTGTCAAAAGTGCCATCGCAAAACCACACCCCTGCTTCTGACAGGAGCCGTATGTTCTCATCCGTGGGGAAGATGAAAGCAGGGAGTCCTCCCCAGATGTTGTCTTGGTGTAGGAGTCTGGGAGGCAACTGACACAGAAAGTATCATGTATATGTGTTATAGTTATTATCTAACTGTGACCCGTAGGCAGTTGGGGTTGATCATGATGATTATGCATTGTTGTTTTAGGAGGTATTTGGGGATTGGATGGTCACATTCCTTTACTTCTCCGGCTGCTTGTCATCGTTCTACTCAGACACCCATGTCATAGCTTGAATATTACCGACTGTAATGTTAAACAATATTTCACTTTAAAATATACTGAAGGTTTTAAATACACTAAACGCCAAAGAAACGTTACCCTCCTACCTTTATGAATTACTGAAAAACTATCAAAGATATGTTAGAAGGTATTAGTATAAAAGAAAGCTTGACAACAAAGCTTTATGCAAATCACGAAACAAAATTCTCGAATGCATTCATATTTAGGTGAAATGCATCTTTTTCAGAAGAGTTAAATTGTCCTATTTTCGTCCATGCCTAAATAAACCAATAACTGATTTAGATGTCCAAAAGAAAGATTGAAATAAAATTCTGCTTTAGGACAAAGATAAACCGCTTAAAGTCACCATTTTTCAACTATTAAAACAATACACAACTGTTGTAGAGTGTGCAAATAATCATTCCTATGATTTCAGTCTTTTAAAACATTTTCTGCTGATTTGCATAAGTGAAATCAAGTAAAACGTGTCTTTGATATTGTGAAAAAATGTTTAGGAATATGTATACTTAACTTTGTTTACATTTTTGCTTGCTAAGTGACATTTTTCCATTTTCTGTTTACACATAGCAACACCAATTGCCAAAACGCAGCAATCTTCAAGCAGTATTTGCATCCATTTCACATGTAGAATGATTCTATAGGGTATGAAGAGAGCCTAGAATACATGATACGATACACAAGAACGAGAAATATGCCACGATTAACAGCTGAAGAGAGAGAAAGAGCCATTGGGATGGTGCAGATGGGGTCGACATACAATGCTGTTGCCAACGCCCTCGGATGCCTCAGTATCACGGTTATAAGATTTATTCAGGGCTTCAGACAAACTGGGGTCACCGTAGACAGACCAAGAAGTGGACGTCCACGCACCACAACGCCAGCTGAAGATAGGTACCTCCGTCATTAAGGAAGGAGGGTAACATTTTATTTGGCGTTTAGTGTATATACTTGGATCTACTGAAGGAAGGAAAGAGACATGTAACTTAAACTTCAAAAACTTGCATTATACGATGAGAGTACAGACGATATAGACGTATGTCACTATAGGTGCAGCTGACATACATATCATTGTTGATACCACGCAGGGTCGGATCGAAGGCGATCAGGTCAGTTCCCAGAGCGAGCACGTGTTTCCTGGAATTCCATTGGCCTAACCACCTGTTGGCGATCTACGTTACCTGAGACCGCTTCCAGCTGGTACATGACCAGGGATCGACGATACTACCTTCTTCAGACCAATCAGTGATTCAAGTATATGCATTAAGTAAATATAAACTTGTAAATGTACATTAGATTGAATTGATCATATTTAATCTATTCAAACGTCATTTACAAGTACATGTCATTTCTCCTAAACATGACACATATACTCTTAAAAAATTGATAGGCATAGGTGATTTTGAGAATATTGGACTCATGTAGAAATGAGGAAATCGTCATGCCACGACTGAGTGCCGCCAATCGAAACATCGTCAAAGGCCGCCTTGACACTGGGTCGTCGCAGTCTGCAGTTGCCCGACATTTCAACGTTCATCAGAGCACCATGTCTTAAAAATGAAACATACAACTTTATGGATGACAACCTCTTGATTTATTGCATAGAGCGACGTTTCAATGTAGATTCTTACATCGATATCAGGCTAAACAATCACCATGTCCAGCCTTTGGGATCATTTCCTTGCAAACCAATTCCGCCCAAGATAGCCCGAGAAGCGGCCAAGAGTTACCACCCAAGCCGAGGACCGCTACATCGGGGCTGCTCACTTGCCGCACCGTCTTGCCACAGTGATACGAGTGGCGCTTGAAAAGTTGAGTGAAATATTTTACGTGAGTAATTAATAAATATGAGGCTGGAAATCTGAGGGCACAACCCTATAAAGAAATGAGTGTCTACCTTTGATGGTGGCGATATTTTATTTGCGCTACATTTAGCCTGTGGTTGACTTAACTGTCAAGTTATCATGTTTTGTAATTATTCTGAAATGTTACATTATACATAAACATGGTCTAAACACGCAATGAAACGCTAGCATTCTGGAGATGAAATCAAGTGCAAGATGGTTATATCCACTGATATGGTAATATCCATGAAGGGGTAGTGAAAGTGATCGTGTTATGGACAACTGAGGTGGAGATAGGAAGGCACTGTACAGGAGAAAATCTGCTGTACACGTATTCGACACTGGTTGTACACGTGGTATGGATTGTGACCACATCACCCATTTCTACTTTCATCCAGGCCGGAAACGATTAGAGAATAACAAATGGTGTAGCTCACAAACAGATATATACGACCGATGATAAACTATCAGTGATGTCAAGTCATGTTTCTTATCTCAACCGTACTCTATCACCACGATGCCCCAACTAGGAACACTGCTTCTTCTCAGTCTTTTAATACATGCATGTGCTGTTATTTGTGCAGCTGACACACACATCATTGTTGATACCACGCAGGGTCGGGTCAAAGGCTACCAGATCAGTTCCCAAAGCGGGCATTCTCTACAGGTGTTCCTTGGAATTCCATATGCTGAACCTCCAGTTGGCGATCTACGCTTCTCGAGACCGATTCCAGCTGGTTCATGGCGAGGGATCCACGATGCTACTTTCTACAGATCAATCTGCCCACAAAGATTACAGTCTGTCCAAAGGGTAAATGTTAATCTGTACCTCTATAAAGGACGGTACCTAGATGTGCACTAATCACATTGAAACGTTTTGCGAGAAATTTTCAGATACCTTTCTCTTCCTTCAGTTGGAGTCTTTAAATACATGTTTAGTGATGCCTTTTGGTATTTTGGCACATCTTTTATAATTTTCTTGGGGCATTTCGCAAATTTCCTAAACATTTGGGAACAAACAGTTTCCTTATTGCCTGTTACTGACACAGCTGTTTCATGATTCTATTGCTGTTTAATCATTTCATGTTTCAAGTATCCATGTAACCCATTCAGTTTCAGCTTTGGGTACAACTTCAACAACACAAGTGAGGATTGCTTGTATGTTAATGTCTTCGCACCAACGGTAATTTCATTGGTTTTGTTTTGTTTGTTGTTTAACGCCACACTCAGCAATATTCCAGCTATATGGCGGCGGTCTGTAAATAATGGAGTCTGGACCAGACAATACAGTGATCAACAGCATGAGCATCGATCAGCGCAATTGGGATACGATGTCATGTGTCATGTAAGTCAAGCATGGGTTACTGAAGATCAGTTCTTCAAACGCTTACAGTTCAATGAACCGTGTTTAAGAAGTGAGGAAGTTTGCTGATCATGGACATTTCTTAATGTACAATCTGTTTGCACGATTTCACACTGGCAACCATGATGACAAATAAATCGTTCATTAGCACTGGAAGTATGTGTAGGAGTATGTAATTATGTATATATTAGCAAGTGTATTTTAATTTGTATTTTAATCACTAAGTGTAGCCCTAGCTTAACCACTCAATCTAACCTGCTTCACATTTCACAATAACACAGTCACCCATGTGCCTTCGTTGTCTATTGTTTCTATTGTCTTGCCCCAGCCCCAGGTCCCTTATATTCAATAGCAGGGTTTTTTGTGGCTTGCCCTCTTATGGTCTACACCTCATATCGTCTACACCTTATATCGCCTACATCTCATATCGCCTACACCTCATATCGTCTACACCTCATATCGCCTACACCTCATATCGCCTACACCTCATATCGTCTACACCTCATATCGTCTACGCCCCATATCGTCTACACCTCATATCGCCTACACCTCATATCGTCTACACCCCATATCGCCTACACCTCTAATCGTCTACACCTCTAATCGTCTACACCTCTAATCGTCTACACCTCATATCGCCTACACCTCATATCGTCTACACCTCATATCGTCTACACCCCATATCGTCTACACCTCATATCGCCTACACCTCATATCGTCTACACCTCATATCGCCTACACCTCATATCGCCTACACCTCATATCGTCTACACCTCATATCGCCTACACCTCATATCGTCTACACCTCATATCGTCTACACCTCATATCGTCTACACCTCATATCGCCTACAATAATTATATTGGCCAGTTCTACCACCCCTATCATAATAGTGGATCAGCTTCCATTTTCACTTCAGTCTGTCTGGTCACTGGTCATAGCTCACAACAGCTTATAACAGGTTAGTTTATATTTGGATTGTGTATGTTTTGTCTTCATGTGTAGTGTGTATGTATTATTTCTTAGCTTCCTTTAAAGCATGTATCATGTTACGTGTGGTAAATATAAACCAAATTAACTATCTGTTATATGCAGCATAACTAGGTCTTAGCAATACTTTATATATGTAAGTGTATTGCAGATAAGGGGCGGTGGGGTAGCCTAATGGTTAAAGCGTTGGCTCGTCACGCCGAAGACCCGGGTTCGAATCCTCACATGGGCACAATTTGTGAAGCCCATTTCTGGTGTCCCCCGCCGTGATGTTGCTGGAATATTGCTAAAAGCGGCCTAAAACCAAACTCAGTCGTTCAGTATTGCAGATAATCTTAGATATAGCATTCCCACGAGGATGTTATCTAGCTTATTGTGTAGGTACTACACTTAGTGATTAAAATACAAATTAAAATACACTTGCTAAAATATACATAATTACAAACTCCTACATATAGAATGTTAATTCCATTTTGCAGAATGGCTCCAAGCTCCCCGTGATGGTATGGATTCATGGTGGAGCATACACGCTTGGTTCGGCGTCTGAGTACGACGGTAGAATGTTGGCATCGCAGGATATCGTCGTAGTGACTGTCGACTATAGACTGGGCGTCTTGGGTATGTTGTGTCAAGTCAAAGTCAAAAGGAGCTAACAAAAATGTACAAATGAAGTTTAAAGGGTATTGTGTTCATTCACATTGCATTTTTCTCTGAATACGTGACGTTCTGAGAGATAACTGTGAATAGTAGCGAAATCAGCATTGTCGTAAAAATGTAACATAAATGTACATATTTGTCTGTTTACATCTGGCATGTGTACCCTCTTCTCATGCTCTCCTTTATGGGGGGCGGTGGGGTAGCCTAGTGGTTAAAGCGTCCGCTCGTCACGCCGAAGACCCGGGTTCGATTCCCCACATGGGCACAATGTGTTAAGCCCATTTCTGGTGTCCCCCGCCGTGATATTGCTGGAATATTGCTAAAAGCGACGTAAAACTAAACTCAGTCAGTCAGTCAGTCTCCTTTATGGCTGAAAGTTATCATTCACTGTGATCGAAAATTTACTTTTAATGGGTGTCATCGTTGGATCCAAACCTTATACAACATGTCTGAGGTATGTTCATCTACCATGTCACCTTCTTTTTCCCAAACAACTGAAACATACTGGAACGGTAGGTTGTTTGATTCTGTCGAGAAACACATCTTTGTACATGCAACAATTAGTAGTACTAAGTTCATAGATTAAGGTAGTGTTGGAGACTGTAATGAGGTTTTTTTACCTTGCAAGCTTTGGATAGTGTTTTGGGATGAGTGCCCCTAGTTCCAGATTTCCCGTCTACGGGGGAGGTATCAAGACCTGTGTTTCAGTGCTCTTTGTTTCAGGATTTCTGTCTACGGGAGATGATGCTGCCCCCGGCAACTACGGCCACCTGGACCAGCTGCAGGCCCTCCACTGGGTCAAGGACAACATTGGTCAGTTTGGAGGCGACCCCGACAAGGTTACCATATTTGGGCAAAGCTCAGGAGGAGCAGGTGTCTCCACCCATATGTTTTCTCCACTGGCAAAAGGTAATAATTTCATTTCCTATCTTATGTAACAAACAAACATATTCAATATATAATATACTATCTAGTCAAACGGATTGTTGTCAAAATATACCTCAGACAATATTCATTTACTGAAACAATAGCTAGAAATCAGCCCTTGTTGCAGAACTTTAAAAACTACAAACGTTTAGCTTTATTTCTTCATGGTCTTGCTTCTGCAGCTGACCATATACTGTACCATCCTATCTGGCATTTTGTACGTTCGTCCGGGGAATGATCACTTGCAGTGACAAGAATTCCCATTTCAAAGAAACACTAAAGCCCTTCCTTACATTTCATCTTGAAGTATTTGTATTTATTTATGAATCATCTGCTTCCAATCTGTGTGTTAATATTGTTTGTTTGAAGTCAAATATTTCCAATTGGATGTGAACATTATTGTATTGACCAAGTCAGTTTGATTTTCGTGTTGTTGTACAAGAACACTTTGACTTCATTGTTACAAACTGCAGGATGGTCCATATTTCCTGATGGTAGATACACCATGGTATGTAAGGGATAAAATATACTTGATATTTCCAACACCATAAACAAATGACAAGTTTCCTGTATGTGATATACCGCTGATCTTTGTTTGCTGTATGACGTAATTTGCCCTACACATTTATTTTGCAAGGTTTATTTCGAGGTGTTATCGCACAAAGCGGCATAAGCGTTAGTCCTTTTGCTTTCTACCGCCCTCCTTACAAGGCAAGCGACACAGCCCGCAATCTTGGAAAGATCGTTGGGTGCAACCATTCGTCATCGCAAGCCCTTGTTACCTGCCTCAGAGGAAAATCCACGGACGATCTCGTGAATGCTAGACCGCAGGTAATTGCTGTGATGCTCCCAGACTGATTGTTATCCTGAGTATATTGGTGTGTTTATGTTGCTGTGATATCGGCCCTTGAAAACCTAGTTCTTGACCTGTGACACTGCACTAAACTACACCAGCAGGTGCGTGATCTTTAACACATGGTAAGAAAGCATTAATAAGTTAACAATACAGGATGACGTTTTAGATATGAATACATGCCATTCAGGGCGTGAGTAAGTGTCTATGGTTTACGCCGCTTTAAGCAAGTAATGCGTCAGTTCAAAATGTGAGGTGAGGTGAAATTGGGTTTAACGTCGTGCTTGAGAATATTTCGCTCTTATGACGACGTGCATGCGTGTGTATGTGTATGTGCGGCTGCTTGTACTAGCCCAGACTTAAGCTGGTTTTATAGTGCTAGCCCACTGAGATACCATACCGCAGTGAAGCATGAATACCCCACTCAGACACATTATACTGACTCCGAGCCGACCAGTCCTTGTTGTACCCATTAATGCCGAGCGCCAGGCAGGGACCAACAAGTACCATATTTTAACGTCTTTTGGTATGACGCGGTCGGGGATGGAACCCGCGACCTTCCGCTCTCCCGGCGGACGCTCTAACCACTACACCACGGGGGCGGTCCAGTTCAAAAGGAATAGTATAGTACAGTATCTACAAACTGCACGGAAAGTGTAGATTATGTGCACACAAAATATGTGGCATCGAAACTATTATGCGAAATGAATATCACTGAAAATGGTTACAGCCAAAAGGCTCTGAATAATACTTCCATATTTTTACGCAATACATATATTTGTGACTGTTTGTGAGGTTGATCAGGATCTATAGGCAGCATGGGAACTAGCTAAATACCATTCCCGCCTTGACCGGAAAACTTACTTCATAAAATAGTTAATAAAATATCATTTCAACAACATATGTACTATCATTGATAAACTGTATGTGAAGTTAGTACAGTCAATCTTATAGAGCACAAGCGGATTCAAATGAACCATACACATAGGGTTTTCCCAACCACTATCATAATGGAGAGCGCAGAAAAATTGACATCTACAAAACTACAACCCCACCTTAAACTGTACAAAAAGACGGATGTTATATATTCAAAGCGACCAATGCTGTGTGTTGACTGTACATGTAGGGTGCACCGATGACGTCTACCTACGTTCCGGTGGTTGATGGCTATTATATCCTGGATTTCCCAGAGAACTTACTGGGTCAAGGTCACGTCCTTGACCCAGCCTTGATGACTGGTACCGTTTTAAATGAAGGAGCTGATATGATTGGTGAGTGCAAATGTAAAACACAAAGACCGAAGGGTGTAACTATATATATGTGAGCGAGTTGTACTTATATACAGAAATTCAAACAATAATTCACACGAATTGCCACTCTACATGTTTCTCATATGTCCAAGAACAGTTTAGTTGTCTTGTTGATAAACCTGGCGCTTGTTCGTTTACTCACAATGAAACATAAACAGTTGTACGACTACCTTTACTGTCATTTAACACAGGGTCACATAGGTAGATCGTGTATGTTCGTGTTGTATGTCCCTTCAAGATTACATCAGTGGCGTGGAAAAGGGTGTGAGCGCCGAGACTGCCCAACAAGCGATTCATTCTTGGAGCAGGAGATACCTGAATCAAACCACCATTGCATACAAGGCAGCAGCATGTCATTACAACATCCACAGTGCGGATCCTATGGTCAACAGACAGAATCTGATAGCTGTAAGTGACAGGACACCTGACAGTTGTTTTCCTGTTGATCTGTCTAAACAGTTGGTTGGTTTGTTGTTTAACGACGCACTCAGCAATATTCCCGCTATATGACAGCGGTCTGTAAATAATTGAGTCTGGACCAGACAATCGAGTTATCAACAGCATGAGCATCGATCTACGCAATTAGGATACGATGACATGTGTGAACCACCTAAGCGACCCTGACCATCCGATCCCGTTAGTCGGGTAACTGAAGATCAATTTTAACCCTGATCTTCACGGGTGTGATGATGTGACCTGAAATGGTTTTGATTATTTTTTCATGGCTTTCAATCCAAAATAACCTAAACACATAAGAAAAGTGTCTTATAACCATAGTCCTGGTGTCATTGTCAATGTGTGTAATAACTAGCACGTTTTGTGTATGGAATATTCACCAGATTGGACGGATACAAAAGTTCTTTCAGCTGTCATTATTTTGTAGTATTCCGAGTAAGCACGCACTTTAAGCTGTTCTTCAATAGACAGCATGTGCTGGAGTTTGGTAGTGTCCTTCATTGGTGTTTCTGCAGTGAACACCTGACTGTTCCAGTTCTGGTCCGATTACGACTACGTCACACCTAATATCAAGATGGCTGACATGTATCACAAGATTCAACCCAACACCTACATGTACAGCTTCGAATATAGATCTGTCAACCAGCCCGATCCACAGTGGGAAGGTCAGTACTGTGTTGCTGTCAAGCTCCCACACATACCCGGATTGACAAAGGCGTGAGTGAGTTTAGTTTTACGCCGCACTCAGCAATATTCAAGCTATATGGTGGCGGTCTGTAAATAATCGAGTCTGAACCAGACAACCCAGTGATCAACAGCATGAGCATCGATCTTGGCAATTAGGATACGATGACATGTGTCAACCAAATCAGCGAACTTGACCACTCGATCCCGTTAGTCCCCTCTTTACGTACGCATGGGTGTCCAATTCTAACCCAGATCTTCATGGTTCCAAAGGCGTGTCTACCCCAATGTCACCTCACGTACATATAAAGCAACGTCTTCATGTATATCGCACCTTTCACAAAGTGATATGATAGCGATTTGTAACACAACCGAGTCTCTGTCAGACAATCCAGTGACTGACATCATGAGCATCGATCTATGCCATTGAGATACGATGAGACCAATCAATCAACGCAGCGAGTCTGACACCCAACTGATCCGTTAAACGAACCTAAATAAATTTAATAATGAATCGTTGAATGGTGGGTATTCACAAGTACCTTTTCACTCCTTTATGTTTGCAAACTGTTCAATGCATGCTCAAGGACGGCCTAATGTATTCCACAAATGAACAATCACGACTGAGGTGTTAAATCGACAGTAGTGTGTGTTTATCATTTACTGTATCGGCATAACCTTATTAATTACAAACAATAAATAAGTTCTCATCAATTTATGCACGTTGATGTCAAGCTCTGAGTAAATTCATGCTTTACGTATTCACGCCTCGTTGATGTCAAACTTTGAGTAAATTAATATTTTGCGTATTCACGCGTTGTTTATATCAAGCTTTGAGTTAATTAATGCTTTACGTATTCACGTCTTGTTGTTGTCAAACTTTGAGTTAATTAATGCTTTACGTATTCACGTCTTGTTGCTGTCAAGCTTTAAGCGAATTAATGCCTACCGTCTTCATGCCTTTTTGATGTCAAACTGAGTTAATTAATGCCTTACATCTTCATGCCTTGTTGATGTCAAACTGAGTTAATTAATGCCTTACATCTTCATGCCTTGTTGATGTCCAACTGAGTTAATTAATGCCTTACATCTTCATGCCTTGTTGATGTCCAACTGAGTTAATTAATGCCTTACATCTTCATGCCTTGTTGATGTCCAACTGAGTTAATTAATGCCTTACATCTTCATGCCTTGTTGATGTCCAACTGAGTTAATTAATGCCTTACATCTTCAAGCCTTGTTTATGTCCAACTGAGTTAATTAATGCCTTACATCTTCATGCCTTGTTGATGTCCAACTGAGTTAATTAATGCCTTACATCTTCATGCCTTGTTGATGTCAAACTGAGTTAATTAATGCCTTACATCTTCAAGCCTTGTTGATGTCAAACTGAGTTAATTAATGCCCTACCGTCTTCATGCCTTTTTTATGTCAAACTGAGTTAATTAATGCCTTACATCTTCAAGCCTTGTTGATGTCCAACTGAGTTAATTAATGCCCTACCGTCTTCATGCCTTTTTTATGTCCAACTGAGTTAATTAATGCCTTACATCTTCAAGCCTTGTTGATGTCCAACTGAGTTAATTAATGCCTTACATCTTCAAGCCTTGTTGATGTCAAACTGAGTTAATTAATGCCTTACATCTTCAAGCCTTGTTTATGTCCAACTGAGTTAATTAATGCCTTACATCTTCATGCCTTGTTGATGTCCAACTGAGTTAATTAATGCCTTACATCTTCAAGCCTTGTTGATGTCCAACTGAGTTAATTAATGCCTTACATCTTCAAGCCTTGTTGGTGTCCAACTGAGTTAATTAATGCCTTACATCTTCATGCCTTGTTGATGTCAAACTGAGTTAATAATGCCTTACATCTTCATGCCTTTCCAGGTGTACTCCATGCCACTGAACTTTACTATGTATTTGGATGCCCCTTCTCTCACACCATGCCATGTCCATGGAAGGGATGTAATAGGACATGGTGCTCTGGTTGGGGAGTATCTCCTCTAGACAAGACGATCAGCAATGAAATGATGACATTGTGGACAAACTTTGCTAAGAGTCTGTGAGTAGATGGCTACCTTGTATAGCTACTGTGTGGTATCTTTAACTATAAAATGGCATGAAGTGTGATAAGGAACAGTTCAGTTAGTGTGTTCATTCAATGTCAGAGCAAGGAATAGGTTATGTCTGAAATTAGACACAGAAAGCGGAAGTATGCTATACACCCATGTTCTGCATGTTAAAATTTGCATGAAGTGACCTCATTTTGTTAACAAGATCAAGGAGTGTTTATTCAGTTAGGAATTGATGAAAAAATACACAAAAGACAATTCTTCTTACATGTCAACTGTAAGTTTTAGTTTGAAGAAACGTATGATTTGCAAACGTCTATGAAAAAGCTTAGAAAAAAATGAAGCCTATGAAGAACAGAGAAATGAATGAAAATACCCTAACTATAGCTCAATAAGATGGTAATTAAGAATGTGCATTTATGGTGATACCAACTACAACTTCATGCCATGCATAAACACATATAGAAACCAATCCAAATCCTAATCAAAGTAACTAGTTTATGACATGATAAAACAAATATGTAAACATGTGTAAAATTTCAAGAAGGAATACCATGACTATAGTTTGTTTTTGTTTATTTGTTGTTTAACGACACACATTACACCTATAAGGGAGGGATCCGTAAATAATCAAGTCTGACCACACAATCTAGTGATCAACATTATGAGCATCGATCTACGCAACTGGGATACGATGCCTAACCACCCGATCCCGTGCCTCTCTTACGACAAGCATGGGTTGCCGAAGACCAATTCTAACCTGGAGCTAACCAACCAACCAATCAAAGTCTTGCGTCACCTCTTCATGTCCATCATCTTTCTATTTTACCTTCACAGTGATCCTAACTCTGGAGCCAACAGGCATCAGTGGCCGCACTATTCTGTATCTGCAAACCGGTCATACCTTCAGATCAGAGACACATCAGATGTCCAGCAGGGTCTCAGACCATCTGCAGCGAACTTCTGGAATCAATATTTCCCAAACCTCCTTGCAGGAAAGGTGAGGCAGCACGAATGTCATGGTGGAGTCATAATTGGTTGAAAATTGCACAGGTACAAACGCACACTGTTCAGCTATTTTGTATAAAACATGACACCCTATACTTAAATGTTATTTATTTTTATTCATAAATTTAAATTACATTTGTATTAATTTGGCAAAGTTGAAGAAAAATGTCACATTTCCCTGATATGATATCTCCTTGACAAGAAGAAGTTTATTTATTCTTAAAATGTCTTACAGACAGAAGTACAATAAATATCAGAAATCATTATTCCATATTGCTAGGTGAGGTGAGATGTAATTGGGTTTAACATCATACTTATGAATATTTCGCTCATATGACCATGCTTGTGTATGTGTATGTGCGGCTGCTTGTACTAGCCCAGACTTAATCTGGTTTTATAGTGCTAGCCCACTGAGATACCATACTGTAGTTAAGCATGAATACCCCACTCAGACACATTATACTGACTCGAGCCGATCAGTCCTTGTTGTGCACATTAATGCTGAGCGCCAGGCAGGGACCAACAAATACAATATTTTAACGTTTTTTGGTATGACGCGGCTGGGGATCGAACACACACGACCTTCCGCTCTAAGCACTACACAACAACGGAGGCAGTCACATACCGCTAGGATCAATAGAAACCCACTGCTCTTATGCATAGAGGGGACATGGACACCCCAGACGCTGGTTGAAAAAGACATTTGATCCAACAATTCAAGAACATTCATATCATCATGAACACAAATCAAATAATGTTGACAACTTGAATTGCAGTTATGAACGTGAATCATACATGTTCTTACATTCATTTATATCAACAAAGCTTTCCAAAACTTAACAAGCAATCTCTAGAATTATCACAGCACTGATCTGCCCTGGTCATCACATAGTTGCCAGGAGAAGGCAATCACAATCACTGAGACAAACATACCATGTCATGATGTGACATGTCTACACCCTTGTTGTGGGAATTCATCTTTCAATACAGAAGCCCATTTGAAACTCTTAGGGCTATTGCTATACAAAGTGTAGTGTAAACAAAAGAAAGATGGCCCCTATATTGAAAGGTTAAATAATAAGTGAGCAAGTCCCAAAGAAAATGTAACCATATCACAGTCAGGATGATATGGGAAGAATACACCAAGTGCTAATGTCTTAAAATTATGAATACATGTTATATATGGGAGTACACTTTCTCAGTAAAGTACAGATTCTAGCACTTTTGTTAGGTCGAGGACCATCCAAACTTAGAAATCAGCCACTTTGGTGAAACTCCTGAGTGCAGGTATGATGGTGACAACGGGCCAATGATTAAAGCCCACAGTCAATGGCACACCTACGTGATGGGTAAATCTTGACACTGAACCCGTTGACCTGCTGAAAACCAGGCTAACAATCATGACTTACATATCCGGCTTCTCTTAGCATTTAAAAAATATACCATATATATAAATCTGCTAAGAAGATAAATTATTGGTGCTAAGATGATAACATCTTGGCAGATGCTCATTAACATTTAAAAAATGAAATTCAATTTTATGTATTCTAGGCACTATCTTGCCACCCATACGTAAATAAAAAATTGGGTGCCTTACTCATTATAACAACAAGTGTAGAATACAGCACAGCTCACATACCACCGCTTCCCGCTTTGGGACATGGAAATGACTGATATTGATTTGCATAATGTGACAAGGATCAGCAGCTCACAAGACTTCCTCCTTGACGGCACCAAACTTTATATACATGTTAGGTAACAGTTTTGCCATTTACTGATTACATTAATAATTTATGGTAGAGCTAAAAAATAAATTCTGATAAACTTCAAAATAGCAAAAGGCACATCTATGTGGAATGATTATGAAAGTCTACATATCATACAATAGAATGCTTCCTGAATAGAAGAAATCATGAATGTATACAAGTCAACACATCACTTACATTCAATACAATCATGTAATATGATTAACATTGAGTTATTCACTTTCAGTTGATCTTAATAGTGCTTCAAAAATCTTTGATGTTTATGAAATAATTGAAATCATTTATTTTGCATAAGGTGACCTTGAACTTACATGGAAGTCATGAATATTTCATGTAAAAGAGAACCCATTTGAGAGTCCATGTAAGTTTTGTCCAATTTAAACCATAAGCTCAAGTTATGTTTACAGAAGCACAAGTGATGATACAAATAAATAGTCTACTTGTCACACTGCTTATACTCTCTGACTATATACAATTTCATGAGTGAATGACCTCCCAGCATTAACATTTGAAACATAACAGGTACTGGGGTAAGTATTGACAGTCATGAGTAATTAGAAAATTCATAAATTTCTCATTGACTTATTAAACATTTCACAAATTTTGAACCCTAATTCATTTTTGACTCTAGTGACCTTGGACATACATGGAGATCACCCAATGATTTGACCTATACCTTGGCATATGGACCTCTCATAAAATTCTATACATGAAATTTAAATTATCCTGAACACAGGTTTTCATACACAATTTATACTTGACCTTGACCGTTCAAGGTTAGTCAATAATCATCAATCAGAAAGACTTCCAGGGTAGAGAAGGCACATCAAGTTAGAGACAAGTTTAGTGTATGGTTGACAAAACCAATTGCAGCAGCAGTAGATTTCAGAGGGGAGAGCTAAAATATAGTCACATTTATTTGTTTTCTACGATGAACCTATACTTGTTTAGATATATTTATGGGCCCTCTTTGAGAATACACATTATACATAAGATTGTCCAACAGCTGTCAAGAATCCCTTCAATGGCAAAATAGCATACGAAATTGAACTCCTGTCAAGAAAATGTAACTTTCATAAACACTAAACAACTGGATACTGCTGCAAATATGGCAATATCACCTGATTTAAATACACTACATTCAAGGCAAGTTTGATAAAATAGGGTCATAGTGAAATATATACTGCATGAAATATCTAGTTTATGAAAAAGAATGAATAATGTTATTGTATCCATAAATAGAAATGTAGTATGTATTGTCACCATCATGATCAACGGTTGTGTTTATGATGTGTGACTGATCACAGCTCCTTTCGGATAAATTGTGCCAAGAAAAGAAAATACACTAAAAGAGGAATGATTGTCTCCCACTTTGGATAGTGTCACTATGAATCTTGTAGCAGGAGTTTGTAAACAAAAACATATATGATACATAACCATATTAGTCAAGTAATCAAAAGTACATGATATATGTACTGCATCTGAAGCCAAACTCCAGCACAATGACTGAAATCCACACTCATGGCTGCTTCAGCACATATCAACATATTATGGTTGATACATACATCAAACTTGGACATCTAATATATACATATCAAACATACATAAAAAAACCAAAATCCCACATCCAAAACATCAATAACTGCTCTATAAATAACAAATAATTATTTTCACAGCATACATCATATTCACCTGAATTTGAATGACAGTGATTCTCTCACTGCACATTAGTACATGAAACAAGGGTTAAACTACTACAGACTATGCATCAAAGGTAACATCGTAACAAAAATTAATGAAAATAAGGCCTGACTAAAAAATTGATAATCAGAAATACTGTAGATGGGAAGAACTGTTAACAATTATTGATATGAAAATTGTGTCATCCATATTGTCTTGCATAAACTATTGTGATGAAACAAAACGATGGTCCTGTTGGAAAATCCTTACTCGATCTATATATGAACTCTTCTTTTCTTGTAGAAACACAAATTTACATTTTTATTCAAGCACCACTTCTAAATTATGTTCAGGAAATTGTTTTTGTTAGTAATCAAAATGAATTTGTCACCACTCAGCAGTAATTTGAAATACGTTCTTTTGGACTATTTATGTACCTTTTTTGCTCACAGTTACTTCTCCAATATTTCTAAATAAGAGATCGATTTAAAAAAAATAATTGTGAGAAAAGCCATCATTAGGCCAGAGCATTTTTATTTCTTGTTTTACGGATTTTTGTGCTAAGAAAACCTAAAGGCAGGAGGGAAAAAAAATAAAAATAAAATCACCAGTCAAAGTGATATTCCTTCTAAATACTCAAAGTATTTTACTTTTGGCAATTTATGAAGTGTATATGGGGCAAAAAACAATCTAAAACAAAACTTTTTTTGTAAGCTTACATTTTTGGCCAATAAAAACATGAGGATTTTATTTTTTTGAGCGGGGAAATTCAATTTATATTTGTTTTCTTATTCTTGAAAAAATATGACAGGCGGATCCTTAAAACAAAAAATAAAATTGGTCTGGCCTTAAACAGTGAAAAAGTCTTGAAAAAAGTGGGATGAGGGTGGGAAATGCCAATCAGACTCCTCTGCTAGCAAAATATTTGAACCCCTTCAACCCAGAATGAAAGTGTTATATGCTCACAGAATGATAAGAAAATACACAACACCAGTGTATGTGTGAAGTAACTTAAGCTTTTGAAAACATAACAAAGACTATCAAGAGAGAAAACACAACCTCCTTTAAATTTCCAGGAAGCATACAACAATTCCATGGTAATGATATGTACATAATGACAGTCCCATGTTTGTTGAAGTATTACATATCATTATATGTACTTTTATCCCAATTGCCTGGAAATGTTGTCCTTAAATCCTGAGGTGGTTTTGTTTTATAAATGACTTGGAATGATTTGTTTGTTTGGTGTTTAATGCAGCACTCAGCAATATTCCAGCGTAATGACAGCGGTGTGTAAATAAGGCTTGGAATGAAATCACTTAGACAGTATACTCTGTGTTAGAAAACTGACAGCAAAAACACAAGTTCAAACCTACAAATTTGCTAAAAAAACATCTAGGAAGCTGTAAAAATATAAGTATTGCATAACATACAATAGACCTGGATGATGATGCAATATGGAATGTCCAAACTACTGGTAATGTCAGAATATGTTGTGGGCATACCCACATAAATGAATCTGATACCCCAACATTTACACAAACATGTGAATATATTGTGACACCATTGAAGGGTCATTAGTAGTCTCATGAGGTCACACAGGTTTCATTTGACAAAGAAACAATAACAAGATATAGTTAGACATATCAAGTTCAACTATATGCTGCAAATTTGGCTGATCAGAAGGAAGAAATGACTATTAATGCTCTGGTTGTGATATTTGATTAAACCTTCTGAGAAATCCTTTACAATATGATTGCAAAGATCCCAAGGTCAGTATTACATTCTCCTTATATAGACTGAAATGTACATGATAATGAAGGTCATCTTATTTCCAAATCATGTCATTGTATAGGTCACAAACTCTAAAAGACCATTATGACTGAACTTACAATGTGTGTAATGGTCCAAATGCTAATTGACAATCTCAATAAGGATAACATGATCTTGTTTCAATTCAAATCATAATGTTATACAATGTTTAGACAAATTACTTTGGAGTTAACCATGAAAATATCTTATCACACAAATTGATCACAGACATGAAGAAAAGGTGTTACATTGGGCCAATGATGACGCAACAATCTTTGTGAGAAGTTTGAACTCTGTATATAATCATATGAGCTCCATGTGATCAGCACCCAGTACACTTTTAAGTAAAAAAACATTATGGTGTCTGAACATTACATCTGTAATAATCGCATCTGATAATGTGCATTAAAGCCATCTCCATTCACATTCACTCGATAGTTTCAAAATGTATCTATCTATGTGTAGACCTATGTCTACCACGAAAGCAACAACACAAGATAAAACAATTCTGCAACCTGGTGAACAAAAAAGAATCACAACTGCATATTCACTTCAGCCTGGAGGAGACTTCAGTTGTCCTCAGCAGGAATAACTAGGCTCCATCGCTTCATTCACAGAATCAACTTCTTACTGTATGCCAGATGTCTCAATATCTGGGAATCTTATCAGTAACGTATTGTCTGGTATCGTTGTTCCTGGAACTGTTGGAGCTGTTGTTGTCTTTGGTGTCTTGGTGCAGGATTTGGAAACTGATAATGTCCCCTGCCTCGACCCTGACCAGCAGGACCTCCTCTGCCACGACCTCCTCCATACCCTCTGCGGAAACCGCCCGCCCCACGTTGTTGATTACCTCTTCCATAGTATTCATGTGGCCCTCTGTTTCCCTGACCACCTCTATGATAGACTCCTGGACCTCCCCTGTGTCCTTGTTGTCTTCGGTTGTTTTCATGTTGTCTTCGGTTGTTTTCACGTCTGTACCCACCATTATCTCTTCCATACTGTTGTGAAGCTCCTCCTCGGCCATAGCCTGCTCCTCTCTTGTCATCACCCGTGGCCATGGGATTGCCATGACCTTGGCGTACATCATCTCTATTCTGTCTCTGTTGCCCTTGTTCAGCATCCGCTGGAGCCACTCCAGGACTGTCCTCATAAGCAACGTCCAACAGTTCGTCCTTGACATGTTCTGTTCCCATAGGTTGTATTGTTATGTCTGGGATGGAACTGCTGTCTCCTGATGCTAGCTGTGGCTGTTGCTGTGCATGTACCTAAAATGGAGTAGTTTTAGTTTTAGTAGTTTTTAACTAGTGCACCACTAGGGTAACCACTAGGCTACCCCACTGCCCCATTTAATATTCTGATACTTAAGGAACTGAAAAGGATATGCTAATGCTTCCTGTAAAATTATCAATGAACTATAACTCCAGCTGAAATTCAGAATATTTATTTACCCTAGATGGGAATCAGAACTGTATGATATCTCACCATTGATTGTTTTTTCATCATTTCCAGTTCTTCAGAGACTTTGTTGTAGTACAGACACAATGGAATAACCTTGGACTTCAGCTCCCATACCAGGTCCCACTTGCATTCATCAAAACTACCTTGATATGGCACTTGCACATCCCGCATCATAAACTCCAAGAGTGCAAGATGAACAGCTGCCATATTCATACATATTTCACCTTTTCTCATTTTTTCCACGAATGTCTGAATTTGAGACATTTTGGATACAAAGTATTCTTTGTACAGTTTTTTAAAAACATTGAAATTCATCATATTCCCTTTGTGAATCTGGGATGACAAATGTTCCTCCCTCAGCTTCTGTGATGTCTTCTGCTGGTCCATGAGATCCTCGAAAACTTCAGGCTGAGTGCCTTCTTCCTTCGGTATCATTTCCACCATTGTACCCAATTGGTTCAAATCAGACTCAAATGATGGTTTGTCAGTTTCTTCTGCTTTGAACGATGCCCTGCAAACTCCACACTGATCCTCTGTAATGTCATAGAATGAGAATATTTCCTTAAGTTGTTGTTGTTGACATCTTTCTCTCTGATATTTCCTCCTTCAATTCTCCCTGTGAAGGTTAACCTCCTGAAGAAGCGCTGAAGGACCCTCGCTGATCTGTCTTCTTGTTCTTCCCGAAGATACTTATCAAATTCATCCTTCTCTCTTTGAGCTTCTTCTGCACTGATACTGATTTCTTCCTCATTTGTTGCACAATCTTCATGTGGTACATGACCTTCAGAGTGATAATGCTGCTCTTTCAACATTTGCTGTTCACATCTCTGCTTCAGATTCCCCGTTTCTATGTGTCCTCTGAGAGTCAGGTTCCTGAAGAAGCGCTGCAGGACCCTCGCTGATCTGTCTTCTTGTTCTTCCGGAAGATAGTTAATGAATTCATCCTTCTCTCTTTGAGCTTCTTCTGCATTGCTACTAATGTCTTCCTCATTTGTTGCACTCCATTCACCCAGTACATCACCTTCAGAGTGATAATGCTTGTCTTTTAACATTTGCTTTTCACAACTTTGCTTCAGATTCCCCGTTTCTATGTGTCGTCTGAGAAGCACTCTAGCTGCTTTGTTTTCTTTCTCATGTTCTGCATGAGGCAAGGTGTGTACAAAGTTTACAAATGCTGATGGGAACATACCAAGAGACTTCAGCTGCTGGTGCTGGATACCTTCTTTTCTCTGTGGATTCCACTTCCACTCACAAAGAAGCAGATATTCATCTTCTCTTTCTTTCAGCATCCTCTGAAGAACATCCACAAGGTCAGCTATTCCATGAGATTTCTTTATGGATTGAAGACCATTCTTAAGTCTTGTTGGAGCATCTTCTGGGAGTTCCAGCCTCATTAGAGCTTCCATCAGTGGCACCTCAACTGGTGGATCCAGCAAAAGTCCCACATTAGCAAGAACTACCAGAGCCAGGATGAGGCACCGCTCTGCTTTTATGTAATCAAAATCTCTCCTGGGGCGAAATAAGTATGAAAACAGATTCATTCTCATCTTACTCCCACACAAGACACCAGCCAAATGTTGAATGTGAACTCCAAAGGATTTGATGCTTTCTTTGTCTCTACTGACGGAATTGATTGACCACTGAATTGATCTGGATCCTGGTGGCAACATGGCACTGACGAATGGCAGGGTTGCAAGATAGGTTGCCGGTAAAACAAATCTGCCTGGCTCAGATGAAAGCTTTGCAAATGATGTAAGTGCAACAGTTATAAAGACCTCATGCCAAAACAGGAAAAGAGGCATTTTGGGAAACAGCATGGGTATGTTACGATCTCCAAGGATTTTGACAAATTTTGAATATGCAAACACTGATGATATAGGATCATCTTTCAATGCATCAAAGGCTTCATAGAACTGACCGCAAAGGTGAATAATCACACTGTCTCTTTCAAATGAAATAAAAGCATACCTTGTCTGTTCATCAAGGAGATCTGAACCTTGTAGTTGTCTTTTGATGTTAAAGTATACCTTTTTCAAGTCAATGTGTTGGATCTTAAATAAAGAAACCAGAATTGTTGCTCTTACAAACCAATCTGAACTCTTGCATTGTACTTGTAACGGGCTGCAACACCAGCAATTCACCATTTCCTGAATAAAACTTTTCAAGTTCGCACTGTCCAAAGCGTCTCTGAACATTCTCATGACTACTTCATTCTCTGTCAAATTTCTCAAGTGATGGCTTTCCGGAACGACAAAATGCTTCATTAACTTTTCGAATGCTGCAGATGTTGCAGTATCATCTGTCAGTGCAGTGAGTTCATCATTAAGGGTCTTCTTTCCAGATGGGACATTCAAAACTACATCCCAGAGTGATTTCACTCCACGATGTAAGACATCTTCCAATTTGACCTTCAACAACAGTGCCTTTAAACCTTTGAGAGCAGTTTCTCTGATGAAGGGCTCATGCAGATGACGACACTTATTGTTGTCACAAGATCTGCTTCCTATACATCTTCCTTCCTGAAATGACCTGCACTGTATGTTCCTGGACACATGGTTGTCAAGCCAGTTTCTGCAGATCTTTATCCATTCTTTCAGAACACCAACAAGGTATAATGAAAGCTTAAATGAAATGTCTTGATTGTTAAAGTGCACAGTTCTTTTGTCCTTCCATCTGGAGATTTCTGACAAGACATCAGCACAAAGGTTCTTTTGTCTACGATAAGCGATTAGTTGATTTGGATCCTTGTCATCTTGGTGAAGGCCATACAGCTTCAAGTACAGTGTGCATCTGCTATGCTTTTCTCTACTATCTGGTTTCCAAAGTGTGCTGATTACAGTTAGCAATGTCTCAATAGCAGTGACTAACCACTGGCAGTCTGAAAGTTGCCCATTTGAAACAGACCGAACAATTATCTTCATGGCTTCAACCATGCCTGCTTCATTGGCAAATGGTGAGACCTTTCTAAAGAATCCAAATGCTTTCTGTGCATCACTTATTCTATTCTGCATCATAGCTATGACCAAAGAAGCCATTCCAGCACTGTTGTTGTTCTCTGTTTCCTCAAATGCAGAGGCTGCCTTTTGAAAATGACTAACGATTTCCTTTTTGCTTGAATCTATGTGGAGCTCCTCATGCTGAGATTTCTCTTCCATCTCGAAGTACAGCTCCAGTGCTAAGGTGTGATGGCATTTCCCTCGGACATCCACATCAGGTCCTTTTTCAGCATGGTGAAGAGCATCTCTGGTGGCACCATGTCGCAGAAGCATCTGAGCAACGTTAGAATGGGAACTTTGACCTGTAAAACCAAGTACCGGTTATCACACAGTTCTAAAGAAAAGAGACCTTTTACATCAACATCAGTCAAATATATCTCAGTCCCACTTTCAGTGATATAGGCATCAGCATTTCACATTAATCTGATTACTTTTTGACCCAGTGCCTCAAAGCCTGTGAAAACTGGATGCAACCCCTCCACAGGTATGAAACCATAATCCATACATTCAGTTGTTCCACATTACTTCAAGACCTTGACCTTAAGCAACACAAGTTCTTAGGGTGAAACAAACACCAATTTTACAACCTAAAGACGACAATAACTGGTAATAAATGATGTATTCTCAATTAAAAACATTTGAAGTTGCAGCATTCATCATGCCAGTCAGGATGCATCAACATGCCTTACTTCAATGAGCCAGTGAGATGACTCTGTTCCTGAAAAATGTTTGATGCTGATCTTGACCAAAACCTATTCAAAGCAGACCCCCATCCGTGAGCAGAAACGTGCCATCCGAAACCAAAGAGTGGGAAGTTTCTCAAGAGACAGACCTTATGCTCTCCTTACACCATGAAGGTGCACCAAGACACAACGAGGGAGTAGTGTCAACCTTCGTGTTTAATTCCAGATGGCTAACAGATGATCCATACATGACGTCATCATCCTCTTGCAGATGACGTGTAGATGACATAATCAGAATACGATGTACAATAGGGTTGGTGTTACAACTACTTATAGCAAATACACTACAAGTGGCCAACAATGTTTGATAAACCCACAGTAAACGAAGAATCATAATCACGAAAAAATGTGTGATTTGAATCCCACAATCACGATCAGATCATTAATGTGTCACCTTCAAGATCTAGAATACAGTGCAATCTGTCCAAACCTGTCTAATCTTGATTTGATACCACAACATATGGACCCAATACTACATTACTAGCTGTAATATGTCATGGTGTACTGCCAAAACACATTTTACTGACTTGTTTTACACACTTTGTCACTAGTCCTGACCAGTCACATTTGAAAATTATTCCTGAAGAAGGCGATGTTATGTTTCTGAATATGTAAATCTAATAAAGAATGACAGGCACACATACTATTTCACTACGGTGTAATCATTTCTTTCATGCATATCTTTACTTTTTTACAAAGCAGTGGCAAGAATACTGGAATGATGGATACTGTGTTGATAGCATTATAAATGATCAGTTAGTTGTGAGCAAAATGAGCGTAGTTCTTACATAATGTGAACAGTTTTGAGAAATGTACATGAATATGTTCCCGTGAATATCCAGATTAGAACTGGTCTTCAGTAATCTACGCTTGTCATGAGTGGCGACTGGGTTGGGTGGTCAGACTCGCTGACTTAGTTCATACATGTCATCGTATCCCAATTGTGCGGATCGATGCTCATGCTCTTGATCACTGGATTGTCTGGTCCAGACTTGTTTATTTACAGACTGCCGCCATATAGCTGGAATATTGGTGAGTGTGCGGCGTTACACAACAAACCAAACATCCAACCAACATGAACATGCACCATTCTGTTAAGAAATGATACTAACCTCCTCTCAACATGAGCTGAACAGCTTCATGGAGGTACTGGTGCTTCTCCAGAAACTCCAGCTGGTCAACATAGGGCAGATGGTCTAACGCTGACAACATCTTGGGCTTGTTCCTGTGTTTATGGTTGAATTTGACCAGTTTGAAGTAGAGGATTTCAAGAGTAAACTGAGCGCCAGGCTTGTTACTCTCAAGCACCTTCAGCATTTCCCTGTCTGTCCCTCTCATCTCCTACAAATGGATATCTTGAGTAAATACTAGTAGTTATTTTGTCACCACTTCATAACTGACCAGAACTTCAAGTTATCACAGTAGACCCTGCACAAAATGAGATAATATCAAATGTTCTCTTCAAATGAAGCAAAGTTATTTCAGCAGTTTTATGAATGGATTAGAAAAGCTCTATGGAAAGTATTTAATTGAAGAGTTTGATAATTCAGAGACATTAAAAAATTGTGTAAAAGATATATGTTCTAACAGAAATAGCATGGACATGACTGTATATTTTTGTGTTCCTTTATTTTTGTTGACAAATATGTAATTTTTCGGATAAACTTGATATTATACTTATCGTGACTCATGCTATATTACTTATCTCCCTTCTCCTTAGAAACGGTTACTGGTAAGTGGAAACTTGAAACCCTTTCAGTTCCCTGAAGCGAGAGTTCAATCACTCACCCTGGAGCTGCCTCCCCCGCCAAAGCCACCTACGTGACCATAGGGCATGCAGCACTCACTCTCTCCGTATATCTGCCCACACTAAGGCTTGCAGGGAAGCCTGTACTGCTGAAAGGGGGCCGGCCGGTTGGGAGGGCTTCAAATCATGAGTCAGGATAAGTATAAAATACCAATTTTACCTGAAAAATTACATATTTTTCCTTATCCTGACTCATGCTATATTGCATATTGAATCCGACGGAAACACGTGGTGGGTCAGCAGCCACCAACGAGATTCTCTGTGACTGAATAATCACGTCATCGTTCGCACATATACCCCCTGGGAACTCTTCTTGCGGCTGGGGCACATCAAATTTTCCTGATTATTGGGGGACCACCTTCTTTTACATGCGTAATAGAAGTAAATCTTATAGATTTCATGGATTTAAGATAAACTTGAACGCCTTGATGTCTAGATATCTTGAACGACCCACAGGTTAAGGTAAGGACTATTACCAAAACTGGTATCGCGGCTCAATATGTTAAGGTAAGGACTACTACTGAACTGAGCCTATATCACTCATGCACTGACTTATCTTGTAAGACAGGGGAACATGGACTCTCTGCTGGTGGCAATGGATCAGTTGCCTGGCGTCAATGAGTCTGCGTGACAAGGGTGAGTATTCTCATCGTCTGGCAGGACCCGAACTGGTGTATCCAGGATACGTCTTCAGTAGCGATATCTTGTAGACAATGCTTTCTGAACACAGTGTCCGACTTCCAAAAGCAGCCTTCCATGATGGATGATAAAGAGCAGTTCCCATGTAGGGCGAGTGTCGAGGCCAGTGCTCTTACTTCATGCGGGTTCGATGTTTGGGTGGCTCTAACCCTGCTGCTTTATACGCTCATAGGATCACGGGCACTGATCCTAAAGGATATCACAGTTCGGGAGACCTCTACAGTTGTGGCGGGTGATACTGGGATAAATAGATGCTTGAACTTCCTCCTCCTCCAGTCCTGTCCAAGTAGACTTTCAAGGTTTTGACCAGACATAAGGATAGATCTTGTGTATCATCTGGACCCAAGATGGTTGATAGTGCCGGAACGTAGAACTGACAATCCGGTTGGCCAGGCAGCTGATTCTTGGCGATAAAGTCCCATCTAAGGCCTAGATGGACTGCAGTACACTGAATAGGTGTCAAATCTCGTACAGCCAAAGTCGAGGGTGTGGATTTCTGACATTCTAGCAGCAGTAGTTGGGCGAGGAGAAACAGCGTCTTTTGAATTAGCAACTCAAATGTTGTCTGCATCAGCAGCTCTAAACTTCTACTGTTGATCTTCCAACTTGAACGATCTCTTGTATCCATGGTGATGACAGAGCTGATCGCCACTAGGTAGGTAGAAAGCGTAAAGTCTTGCAGGTGTCTAGTAGCCCTCAGATGACACAGGTAGTCAGCTTGTGGGTGCGTTGCTTTCATGGCTGAGAACTCTTTGCGAGCAGCAAACTGGTTGAAGCTCCTCAACTTGTCGTCATACAGGTTCCGAGTAGATCGATGTAAGGCCAGTGTCACTGCCTTAGCGGCTCTGGTGGAGTACCCTCTTCTCTTTAAACAGTGCGTAATATGTTCCATGCATGTAGATGGACACCTGCTGGGTTGCTGTGCCGTTGCTTGGTGTGAGGGTGGATCAGTAGATTCAGCCAATCTGTTAGTCGTAGCGCTGGCTCGATGTGAAACACTATGATCATGAGGTCTGGGAACCAGGATCTCGCCAGCCAGTAAGGTGCAACCAAATTGCAGGATGTTGGTCTGGCTGACCTTGTGTAGCACTTGAGGTAACAGGATCGGTGGTGGGAACGCTCACGCGTTCAGTCCCTCCTAGGATACGGCTAGGGCGTCGACAGTCCACGCTAGAGGATCTTGTACTGGAGAGACGTATGTTGCCACCTGATGGTTGAATCGTGTCGCAACCAGATCAATGAGGGGACGGCCGTGATCTACTGTTAACAACTGGAATGTTACCAGATGCAGCATCCATTCTGTGGGTGATGGACGGACCAGTCTGGATAAGGCGTCTGCTAGGATGTTCTTTGTCCCTGGGATGTGGCTGGCTTTCATCTGCAGGTTGATGTCATCTGCTAAGTCGAACAGCTGGAACGTCAGTTGAAGCAGCATCGACTTCGTCATTGAAGCGGCATGTGTAATCTCTGGACATTGTCTAGATGAGTACCAGGAAGCGTTGTAATATTTGTAGCTGCAACCTTCCACTGCGTGTGAGAGTCTGTGCCAATGAGAGAAGACCTAGGTGTCGTTGCCATGCACTTATGTGGAGTGTTGATGGCATCTGGTATGCTCGCCTGGATACCCAACCATCGGTCTTCTGGTACCATGATGCAGTTCTTCGTGGTCAGGAACCTGATGCCAATGAACAGTAGACCCTGGGATGGCTCTAATCCTGTTTTCAATTGGTTCCCCAGGCGGTAGGTTGATCGTAACTGCAGTTGATATCTGGGTTGATCTGCTTGTAGATGCGCCTGGATTGCATTGTCTAGGCAGAATGCACTGTGAAGTCTCCACTGATGCAATGATGGGCTAGGTTACACCTCTAAATAGTCCGGGAGCCGAGGAATTTCCAAGGGAAGCATCCTACACTACTGCGACAGGGAAGCCACTCTATCTTGACTTCGCCACGACTCACAAAGACGATCACCCCCATTTCTTTCTTCTCGAGCACTTCTCTTCAACAGAGATCAGCGATGACATCAACCTCGTCAAGGATGGTAAATGCAGTGATGATGCACCATTCTTCCCCTTATGTTTGCCGACAAGCTTGATCAGCATACATAGAAGCATAGACTATTTATAGCAAGACTGACTCGCAGACAGGGGAGTTGTCTGTCCTGGACCAATCAGTTTCCAGTATGTGATGTCACCGGTGTTGTAACAAGTTGGCCTCTATGGAATCTGGTGCCACTTCATCTACAAGGTCATCAGAGCTGAAGGCATGCATGCAGGACCCCGAATGTTGACGTGTACAATAGCTGACACCTCCATAAGCTGCTCCAGTGATGTCAGCAAAGCAGTAGCGTTTGCGAACACTAGAGGATATCAGATGACAGCTAGGAGCTGCAAGGTGTAGATCAACTGCCTGGACGATGTAGTGGATGGTACACAGCACAACATTCACTGCACACATCTCCGTAGAGATGGGAGACACTACGGGAATTGACTCCAACAACAACGTAAGGCAGGAATAAGGCTATTCAGTGCACTTGTAGACGCTCTCTCCTGGACCACCCTCCTTGTGATGTCATCAATGAAGTCGTTTTGGTTGAATGCATCTGTGTGGGATGTCGGACGCTGCAGCGAGATGAAGGCCGTAGACCTCTCCCTAGACATTGTCACCATGGTAGCAAACGATAACAGGTTAGCAGCTGGCTGCTGCCCGGAGGATTCGCCGACCCTGACGATCTAGGATGAGTTACGTCTCGTCTACGGTGAAGGGTTAGCAACCCCTGAAACCCTGGATGTCATAGGCCGCTGGGATGATCTCAGGTTCAAGGACTGGAGGGTTATAGTATGTAGATATATCTGCTTCAGCACCAGGCATCGGATCTTCTGTCAACGACCGTCGAGTAGCAGCAGGACCCGATGATCTTGAAGATCTAGCCAACTGTGACAATCTGGAAGATGACTTCCGGGACGTATAGGGCTTCTTCGCCGAAGTAGAAGACCTCTTTTTTTTCTCCTGCAGCTCAGCTTCTCTAGCAGATGACTTCCTCTAACCTGGAGACTGACTCTACCTCCATAAGGACGGGAGACATCACAGGCTGGGACTGTGACGACATCATAAGGCAGAAACAGGCTAACCACTAACCAAAATTTATACAACAGTTTCCATAAATATGATGAATAATAGCCTAAAGAAAACATTCATGGCAAAATTTAAAGGTCACATGCAACGTAAAACACAACTTTGCAGATTCTGATACCTTTCGGTATGGACTTACCGAAACAAAGCGTCAAAAATGCAAATTCAACTTATAAAGTTGAAAAATAACGCGATGAAAAAAAACGCGCGAAATCGGAGTTCAAACGTTTCACTAATTTTCCCCAGACTTTTCTGGGGAATACTGGTTTCAACAGCTGGGCTGCGCTCATAGCACGTGCGCAGTGAAATAGGTTCGCGCAACTTGGAAGCGGGCTGTCTGGTGAATACTCGGTGAAGGCTTTGGTGTGAGCTATTTTCATAATGTTTTGTTGATATCTCACAGGCGAGCTTTTGTATGTTATGACAGTAAATAAACTGTTTATATAATTTCATTTGTCTATTTCACCACACGTTCTTCTTACCGAGTCACTTTCTCAGTTAGATACTTAAAAGCAATGTCATTATTTAGAGTTGACACAATTTCTAACTGTGATATAGATATGTCGCTGTCACAGACAAAACTCAATGTCTTGTTTTATTGACACCTGTGTGTCTGCCTGCCTGTCTGCTAATGACAATATTCAATACACAACTGCGATCACTGACCACATGCAATTTGAACTTAACACCAATCAGGCTATACACCATAAACAAAACGCATTGATTTATGGCCCGAGTTCGGTCTCTGTCATATTATGTAATTACACAGACAGGCAGGTGTGATACTTGAACACATGACATGTTATGATGTCTGTTGATTGCAAAATGTTATACACAAAATGAGCATGTATTTACAAAACCCAACTTTCTATATATACACACACAATGAGCCGTGAAGGCAGCATCTGCTAATGAACCAGCCGTTACACTTGAGTGCACACCCACCCGCTCTGACTGGGTTTGGTATCCCGGCTGCTTCGTTTCGAGGGAGGTAAACCCAAGTACAAAATATTGCACTTTTGATTTGCGATTATACGCTTATAATTTTGATTATTTGTTTTTTTCATAATCAGCAATGCATATTATATGTCATGAAGAAGTGATAATTGTGTTTTAATTATGTTTGATTTTTTGGTTGCATGTGACCTTTAAGTTAAATATCCAAAGGAAACAGTAATATAAGTCGCAAAAGGGACCCTAAAGATATACATTTGGGTGATTAAGGAGAGAGTGAGGACTGCATGCCTTTCAGTCATGTGGGTGGTTTTGGTGGGAAAGGCAGGGGAGGCAGCTCCAGGGTGAGTGACTGTACATTCGCTTCAGCGAACTGAAAGGGATTCAAGTTTCCACTTAACCATTCGAAGGAGAAGGGAGAAAAGCAATATAGCATGAGTCAGGATAAGGAAAAATATTTGAAACACTCATTCCCAAACTTTATGTGAGATAATATGTTTTGCATTCTGGCACCATGATTCCAAGATTTAACCCCAGATGTTATTGATGCACTGTACTGTCTCAGTACCATTACATCTTTGCTGATTTCATAACTTCGTAAAATATCCTTCATGAATACTAACCACTTCTGATCTAAACAAGGGGGACCTGAATTGGTCTTGAGTAACCCATGCTTGTCATTAGAGGTGACTAACATGTCATCATAGCCCAGTTGCCTAGATCGATGCTCATGCTGCTGATCACTGAATTGTCTGGTCTAGACTCGATCATTTACAGACAGCCATGGCTGGAATATTGCTGAGTGCGGCATTAAACAACAAACCAACCAACTGAACATGGGGGGCACTCTGTGAAGTCAAGATAAAAAATAATCACCTGTATTTTTGTTTGGTACCTCTTCAAGCAATCAATGGCAAGTTCATGCAGTTCCTCTTTGTCTAGCAACTCCACTGCTCTGTTGTACCATCCGAGCTTCTCATAGCAGTCACTGGTATCAGCATGTTTCCCAGACCTCTGGAACAGCCTGGCTGCCTCTTGGAACTTCTTCACTCTCTGGAACAACTTTGCCGCCAGCTCAAATTCACGCGCATTCTGCAGGCATGTTGCAGCTTTTATGACTTCCCCGCAGTGTAGGAACTTATGAGCGGAACACACAAACTCTTCCCTCATTTTCCGAGGGGTGTCTTTCAGCTTGAGTGCCCCCTGTGCCTGACAGTGGGCAACGGCTAGCTGTTCCTTGTTGTCGTCCCCACCCATACGGTAACAGTTGACAGCGACCTCATACAGGGCCTGGCTCATCATCTCATCTCCTCGCTTCACCCAGTCCTCAGGGGATGACTTCATAGCAAACACCATGTGGGTAAACTCTGTCAAATGAAGTCCAACATAAGTTTCAAGGTACTAAACTACAATGTATCTTATATTTGGGATTACACTTTCTCAGTAAAGTACATATTCTAGTACTTATTTGGGAGGTTGAGTCACATCCAGGATTCAAACCACACTCTCCAAGTAAGGCATGTAATTGCCAGCACACAAAGTCAGCGATCTAACCCACTCAGCCACCCCAGCTTCCAGTTTTGAGCAACAATATAACAGTGACAGATGCTAACGACACGAAAGCTCTTCTTTTCCAGCCTTCACTGACATTTATTTCAGCTACGGACTTCAGTAAATGAGGGTTACAAATGTAGACTAGATATTAACTGTGGAACCGCTCTTATCATACTGAACAGAGTTTCATAAGTCTATTAGACAAATAATGAAATATTTACTCCACTTATAAGTTTCTTCTACTTCTTCTGTCCATAACCATCTCTAAGAAACCGTAACATTAGTGCTAAAGATAAGTGCACAACAGGCAGTACCACTCACCAGAATTCCCATCCTCTGACTGGGAGATACATCGGACCAGCTGCCTTGCCTTGAAGTATTCAAACATTGGAGCCCGCTTCTCCTCATCCTCATCAAAGATCCACACATTCACACGCGCTCTCGTCAGGGCTGTGTACAGGTACTTTAGTTCAGAGTTGAGAATTTTATGCTCATTAGCTTCAAATGCAAGTGCTCTTGGTCGATTTGGCTGAGTCAGCATTTCTGGAATGGAAGTTCCTCATTGATGTTATTGTTGTTAACTGTTCCATGAAAAAAATGTCTAAGGATTTACCCTTAAACTGCAAAACAGTAACAATATGACAGGTAATTAATGTATTTTTGGCATTATATGGATTCAATTAAGTGTTTCAGTATTGGTGGGAACATGCAGTTGAAGCTTCCTCTATACTTGTCAAGTGGTTCACAAAACTCAGAATGCACTTTGAAAGATTTTAGAAGCATGGTAAAAGTGCAAATGTCTAATATCTAGTTACATATAATCAATGTTGAGGTCCACTACTAATTTCATTAAAACGTCTAAGAATTTTTTATACAAAGCTTCACTAAGTGTGAATGTCATGTCAAGTTCAAAACGTCTAAAGAAAATAAATGCAGAACACATGTATCCACTGCTAACCACTCTTGCATCAAATTTAATGATTGGAACCTCTTGGATACTGGTATGAATCATAATTAGTTCATCAGATATGTTGTGTTTTTGCTACTTAACCATGTTCACAGATGAGGAACTGGATGACAGTATGTGTCATCATATCTCGATAACATTCAAGAACTGAAGAGCTGAAAACGTTTTAGAAATTTGCATTAACATATATACCTCAACCACTTCTTGAAGACCCCAAAACACTTTTGAAACTCCCCAAAATATCTTGAAAATGTTTTGAAGAACATTTTTTTACATATTCCCTTTAAAAAGGGTTAAAGATAAGTCTGACTTCAGGTGGGTAATAAAAATGTATTTACCTGCATCAATAACATGAAGGCTTTCTGCTTGTTTTTCATAGTGTGGGCATGCAGCAAGTGTCTCTAGGAATGTGGTGACAACTCTCCATTCTTTTGTGGCCTACAACATTGATATAAATGATTGATACAGAACCCTTCTACCTAAAACTAAATGGTTATGGTTTCATACAGACTGCTTGTAAGTAAAATGACTGCAAATGACAATCAGTAACCCTAAATATAAACACGTCTGAGTATGTTTCAAGGAAGATGCAACAGTTCATTGCACAACTGGCTTGTTTTGTCATTTCATTAAACATCAAATAAAATATTTGTTAGAATTTAATTTGCATCAGCTTTAGTTAAACATATCATTGTACTGTATATGATACACTAAAGTAGTAAAGCAAGAAATGAAATACAATAATATCTTTACAATGTTACAATATTTCTGTATAGTTTACCTGCAGAGGCTAATATTTCGAATAAGGTGGGTTGGATACCTGAGAATCTGTGAAGAAGTTGTAGAGCAGTATGTCATCAAACTCCAGCCCCTTCGACTCATAGATTGTGAGGACAATGCTGTGCCTGGACAGCATGTCAGGCATCTTCTCCTTGGCTTCATCGTTCACCACAAGGATGGCCTGGTGAGCTCCGAACTCAATGTGGGAGGCTTTTCTATTGTTTCCCTGAAGACCCAAACATATTTCACCAATAATAGAGATTGTTAAATATATTCCTGCCGGCCAGGAAATGCCTACCCATTTAGTGAACACATGGTGTCAGCCCTGATTGTTGGTGATTTCATCATATTTCCACTGCTACTTTGCATTACTGCCTGTGGAATCAGCTTCGGTAAATTATCAAGACTAGTTATACAAGGCCTTTGTAATCTTATGTTATAATTATAGAATGTTTTTTGTGACATTTTTTATAGCCGTATTTTTAAATTTTCAAATCGTGTCAGTCATCTTCACAGTGTTATGGATCATCTCTGGATAAAGACAATCAGCATCAAAATATGTCAGTCCAGAAGGTGCCGGTCATCTCTGGATAAACACAAGCAGCATCAAAATACGTCAGTCCAGAAGGTGTCGGTCATGTCTGGCAGACACTTGGACATTTTGCTCTGTTGGGCTAAAGCCAACTTCATCTTTCAGAAAGCATGTCAAATATATCATTCTGTTAATCCCTGAATATGATGAATAATACACCAAGTGTTGGCATGTTATTGTATTGCCTACTTAATGTTCATATTCCTTACCCAATAACGTATCATAATCACCTCATTGTGGATTTGATGCAGCCCACCCTGGACACACAAGCACGATGACAACTGTAAAAACTACAAGGAGACTCACCTGAAGCAGAATTGCGAGATCCTGCGGGCTGCAAGACTCCATCAGCAATGGTAGCGGTCCATCAAGCAGACCTTGGTCCTTTTTCAGTTTGTCAAAGGATTCTGGGAAGAATTCCACCATCAGGTCCAGGACTGCTGAGGCAAGGGCAAGGATCCCACCATGAGATCTGTAGCTGTGTGTCAGTTGGTACACTTGCTTTGGTTCATTCAGCATTGTCTGGTTACCAGCTGCCAGTGATTTTTTGGCATGAAAGAAGAGAGATTTGAGATCACAAAACCTGAAGGAGATGCCCCTCATAATCCCCTGGGCTGTGTCCCCTGTCAGGAACATGTCATTAGGGTGCTGTGTGATTCGAAGGAGGACACTTAATTCTGCCTGAGTGAAATCCTGTGTTTCATCAACATACAGTTGGTGGACTATCCAGGGTAATTCATCCATGCTTTTCAAGCGTTTGAAAATGTCTGACACAAGATCTGCCTCATCAAACAGCAGGTTTTGCTTTTTGAAATGGTCATATCTCTCAAACACTTGATAAACTGTTTCCCTCACTCCTGAAAAATTAGGAGCTTTCTTTCTCCCTACTTCAATATAGTCTTTCTCTGAAAGATGTCCTTCTGATGTAGCCAATGCTTCAAAGGATCCTTTGATGAAAGACATGATTTCAGTCCAAACTAACGATGGATGATACTTTGCTTTCTTCTTAATCTTTGGCCAAATGGTAGAAGCGAATACCTCATAAGTGACCTCCTTTCTTGGATCCAGTTTCTGTTGTCTTAATCCAGCTGCTGCTTCTTGTTGCTGAACATCTTCATCATAGTCATTGTTCATTCCCATAAAGTCTTCATCATCAGAGTCTTGGTCCATGAGTGAGATACCCAAGACATCCCCTTGTTCCTCCCATCCTCGCACTGTGACACCCAGACTACCATCCTCGTCCCTTTCAAAGAAGTATGGTTGACCAAGTGAGCCATCCAGCATCATTAACAGATGCTTAGATGTAAGGAAAAGTGGGTAACTGAGATCCTCAACATCTTGTAGTCTAGGAGGGATCTCCTGGTATTCAGCGTCTACATGATCTGCAGTCTCATCACAAGCTCGACAGAGTTCATAGAAGTTCTTGTGAACCTCTGTGCACAACACAGGATTCTTTGTCACAAAGATCTGATGAAGATGGTCATATTCTCCATAGTCTTGGTCCTCCTCCTCATCCTGTCTCTCAAAGGAAGGTTGGACATCAGCTGCTTCATAAGAATCTGCTTGTTCATCATCTTCAGGATTTCCATCCTCATCATCTTCAGCTGGAACCATATCATCCAAAACAACAGTTGATTCTTTAATTGAAGGGTATTCCTAAATACATGCTCAAAGCTGATATATCATATTCTCATGAAAGGGGTTTTATCACCATAGGTTTGAAAAACATGTGAGTGGAAACTGAAAATAATGTTACAAAGATAGGTGGTTGCTTTTGACATGGTTATATACACCAATGGCGTTTATGATACATAGATTCTACATATCTGTATGTCACAAAAGTTAACTTAAATGTGTGTACACATTACCTGGCGCTGCAAAGGCCCAGTCCAGCCTTGGAAGAAAGGGGGCACCTGTCTCTTGAGCTATCCTCCAGTAGGAGATGAAGTTTGTCCACAGTCTGTACAGGCAACTCGTGGTCTTGCCTGTCCCACTTCTTCCCAGCAAGAGAATGGGGGCTTCACCACTGAGGTGGATGATAGCATGCTCTTTATCAGTTACCTTGAAAGGCAGATCAGCTTTCTTGATCATATTGGACAGCACAATGTTGACTAAGGCAGATGTAAATGCATAGAACTTGAGGATATGATATTCCCTTGGATCTGGACTTGCTGGGGAAAGAACATGCAAGTGATTGTTTCTTGTACCCTCATATCTTGTTCTGCAAAAAGTAATGGAAGCTGTTTCTGTTTGTCTGTATGATGGGATCTCTCTAAACCTTGCAAGTTTCTTGTCAACAGTGACATTTTCCCTCTCTTATATGACGTTCTTATTGAACCCAACAGTGTCTGAATATCATCATCACTGGAGACAATATCCCACACTCTAATGATCTGTGTGTAAATTCGGCCACCTTTAACGGCAAAGTTTCCATCATCCTCATTCTGCATTCTTTTACTTGGAGAATCGCTGCAACGTCCTGAAAATGCAACAGCTTTCTCCCATATTAGTGAAGTGGTTTTGGACAGTTCTGATGTAAAAATATTTGTTGTACTAGTGCTGGCAGGTTTGTAAGATTCTGGCCTCCAGTTTCCATTTGCTAGTTCTGTGATAATCTTTACAGCCCTTTGCTTAAGTCTCATTTGTACACTCTTGCTCCTGAGATGTTTCCAAGCATCAGCTGTGAACTCTACTTCCCATGGTAAGTTATCAAAGTGGTCTGGTTTAAATTCCATACCCTCATTATCCTCAACATCATCTAGAATTCCCATATCATCCCCTCCCCTCTCCTCTCCTGCAGTTTCAGCCTCCTCCTTTCTAGAATCTGTGTTTTCAGCCAGTCCATACTCTGTAGCTGCACTGATGCTCTCCAAAATGGAACAGCTGGAATTTTGAATCATTTCCAAAATATCTGATTTGCATTCTGAAACTGTCAAGACTGGTCTTTCCGCCACAGATTTCACCATTTTTATCTTTTCCTCTTGAGGCGTTTCAGAAATAACTGATTTTTCTTTGTCAACATTCTCGTTGTTTATATTCATTCCATGGCCATCATTTTCTAGTGTAGCTTCAGATGTTTGCTTGTCAGTGGCCATCGTCTTCTTCTTTTTCTTCTTTTTCCGAGTCTTTCGTTTGTTTTTATTGGTTGGCTCTTGGGATGGAACACCTGTGTTTTCAGGAATTCTTTCTTCAAAAGTGGCAATTGCATTGCTTTCCCTGGCAACAGTTTCACATCCCGCACTGGAAAACACATCTGTTTTGTTTTCGTTTTTTACAGTGTCTTTGCTTGTGGATTTGTCACATGCTGTTACATCGACTGAGCTCACAACATGTTTCTTTCCGTTACTGATTTCTCTATAAGCAATGTCATCTGTATGATCTGGGATATCTATATGATCAGCCTGCTTCATAGTTTGTTCCTTATTCTTGTTGGAATGATCAGTAGTACTACATGGTCTGTCAGCATCAAGAACAGGATCAGAAGAATGGCTATCATTTAGTGTACAAATAGCTTTATCCTTTTGTTTGACTTCATCAACAGCAACAGTTGTAGACTTTTCTATGGAGTAGTTCTCTTCCTCAGTGGTGCTTGGAGTAAGTTGTCCATTCTGCAAACTATCCATCTTCAAATCTGCTGGAACATCTTCAGAGTGATTACCTTCACATGGCACTGTCATGTCCTTGGTATATTGTTCTGTATTATTGTCTGTCTTAGAAGTGACATCATCTGTATCTACTCTCAGAGACTTTGGCTGACTTTTATCACAGGTTTGTAGCCATTTCTCTACTTTCACACATGTGGTGGGTGAATCTGGCTTTCTTGATACTACAGTGATATTAGAAGCATCAGACCCAGTTAATGTATTAGATCCTGAGCTGGACTCATTTGAGTCCTCAGTATCATCATCAGTAGTTTCACCCACTGATATAGGGCCTCTCATTTCCTTTTCTGTACAATCTATCAGTTGTCTTGGAGCTACTTCTGAAGGAACTCCTGGTGCTGTATTGAGTGGGCATTTACCTTGAGATATCTTACAAATGTCACCATCTTCCTTTGAAACATGTTCAGTCTTTGGCAGCATGGGATTGTGCTCTGGCTTTGCTATTCTGGCAGCTTGCATCTTGTTACCTTCTGTGATACCAGAAGGATAATTCTTTTCTGGTTTGGCTGGAATTTCAATCTTCTGATATATTTTGGACTTAACACCAGATACCTCAGGTTGAGACTGCTTGTCACTGGTCCCATCATTGCCAAGTTGACTTACGTTTGAATGTATAATGGCTGGGATAACATCTAGACTGCATCTTCCCTCATCATCTTGTTCTTTGTTGACCTGTCCCTGCTTAACAAATACTTTGCTCTCTGCTGTGTCGAGTAAAATAGCTTTTTGATTTATCCCAAGAGGTTCTTCATTTACCGTAAACCTTGATCTCGTTCTTCTCTGGCATAACATTTGAACAGTTTACTCCTTCATCCTCTCCATGAGTAATACCATTTCTTTGATCTGCTGCCTGGATCTCTCTGTTTGCGGAACCAAATTCTGTATGGCTTGCTCTATCATCAAGGTTTTCATTGAACAGACTCTTATTATCTACCTTTTCAGGACCTTCTGTCTTGCTTGCCCTGCTTTCTCCTTCATCCTCACACTGTCCTGATGTATCAGGAGAACTACTGGTTGGTCCATCACCTTGTCCTTGGCTCAAGTCATCTTCATATTCCAATTGTACAGTTGTATAAGGAGAAGTACTGGTTGGTCCATCACCTTCTCCTTGGCTCAAGTCATCTTCATAATCCAATTGTACAGTTGTATAAGGAGAAGTACTGGTCAGTCCATCACCTTCTCCTTGGCTCAAGTCATCTTCATAATCCAATTGAATGGATGCATCATCAGAAGTATTGGTCGATCTGTCACCTTGTCCTTGGCTCAAGTCATCTTCATATTCCAATTGTACAGTTGTATCAGCAGAAGTATTGGTTGGTCCATCACCTTGTCCTTGACTCAAGTCATTTTCATAATCAATTGTACAGTTTTATCTGGAGAACTACTGGTTGGTCCATCACCTTGTCCTTGGCTCAAGTCATCTTCATAATCCAATTGATCAGTTGTATCAGCAGAAGTACTGGTTGGTCCATCACCTTGTCCTTGGCTCAAGTCATCTTCATAATCAATTGTACAGTTGTATCAGCAGAAGTATTGGTTGGTCCATCACCTTGTCCTTGGCTCAAGTCATCTTCATATTCCAATTGTACAGTTGTATCAGCAGAAGTATTGGTTGGTCCATCACCTTGTCCTTGGTTTAAGTCTTCTCCATATTCCAATTCTACAGTTTTATCTGGAGAACTACTGGTTGGTTCATCACCTTGTCAGCAGCTCAAGTCATCTTCATAATCCAATTGTACAGTTGTTTCAGGGGAAGTACTGGTTGGTTTGTCGTCTTGTCCATGGCTCATGTCCTCTTCATATTCCAATTGTACAGTTGTATCAGCAGAAGTATTGGTTGGTCCATCACCTTCTCCTTGGCTCAAGTCATCTTCATAATCCAATTGTACAGTTTTATCTGGAGAAGTATTGGTTGGTCCATCACCTTGTCCTTGGCTCAAGTCATCTTCATAATCAATTGTACAGTTGTATCAGTAGAAGTATTGGTTGGTCCATCACCTTGTCCTTGGCTCAAGTCATCTTCATAATCCAATTGATCAGTTGTATCAGCAGACGTACTGGTTGGTCCATCACCTTGTCCTTGGCTCAAGTCATCTTCATAATCCAATTGTACAGTTGTATCAGGAGAAGTACCGGTTGGTCCATCACCTTGTCCTTGGCTCAAGTCATCTTCATATTCCATTTGTACAGTTGTATCAGCAGAAGTATTGGTTGGTCCATCACCTTGTCCTTGGCTCAAGTCATCTTCATAATCCAATTGTACAGTTGTATCAGCAGAAGTATTGGTTGGTCCATCACCCTTGTCCTTGGTTTAAGTCTTCTCCATATTCCAATTCTACAGTTTTATCTGGAGAACTACTGGTTGGTCCATCACCTTGTCCTTGGCTCAAGTCATCTTCATAATCATACATCAGGGGAAGTACTGGTTGGTTCATCGCCTTGTCCATGGCTCATGTCCTCTTCATATTCAATTGTACAGTTGTATCAGGAGAAGTATTGGTTGGTCCATCACCACCTTGGCTCAAGTTATCTTCATATTCCAATTGTTCAGTTGTATCAGGAGAAGTGCATTGGTTGGTCCATCACCCTTGTCCTTGGCTCAAGTTATCTTCATATTCCAATTGTACAGTTGTATCAGGAGAAGTATTGGTTGGTCCATCACCTTGTCCTTGCTCAAGTCATCTTCATAATCAATTGTACAGTTGTTTCAGGGAAGTACTGGTTGGTTCATCGCCTTGTCCATGGCTCATGTCCTCTTCATATTCCAATTGTACAGTTGTATCAGGAGAAGTATTGGTTGGTCCATCACCATGTCCTTGGCTCAAGTTATCTTCATATTCCAATTGTACAGTTGTATCAGGAGAAGTATTGGTTGGTCCATCACCTTGTCCTTTGGCTCAAGTCATCTTCATATTCCAACTGTACAGTTGTATCAGGAGAAGTATTGGTTGGTCCATCACCTTGTCCTTGGCTCAAGTCATCTTCATAATCCAATTGTACAGTTGTTTCAGGGGAAGTATTGGTTGATCTGTCGACTTGTCCTTGGCTCATGTCCTCTTCATATTCCAATTGTACAGTTGTATCAGGAGAAGTATTGGTTGGTCCATCACCATGTCCTTGGCTCAAGTTATCTTCTATATTCCAACTGTACAGTTGTATCAGGATAAGTACTGGTTGGTCCATCGCCTTCTCCTTGGCTCAAGTCATCTTCATAATCCAACTGTATGGTTTTATCTGGGGAAGTACTGGTTGGTCCATCACCTTGTCCCTGGCTCAAGTCATCTTCATAATCAGACTGTACTGGTATTTTATGATTAGATAACAAGGATAGAAGCTGGGTCTTTTTTCTGTGTAGTTCTTCCATGTCCTGCAAAATTCCATAGTACAGACGACATTACATTAATGAAATATAATATACAACAATATATTTTATGGATTATCGTTAAGAATTTGTGGCTTAAAAGATTGACACCTTCCTGACACCTGTTCAGCCTGAACTGAGCCTGTCTCAAGACAGCATTCACAATATATTTGATAGAAACACTTGTCAAATCTGAAATATGTATTGAAATAATTGGACATACTAGGCAATGTCTGCAGTGACTGAGATTTACACCACTTTTAGCAATATTCAAGCAATATCATAGAGGGGGACACCTGAAATGGGCTTCAAACATTGTACCCATGTACCCAGGAGAAAAAATTGAACCTGGGTCTTCAGTGTGACGCAAAAACCTCACCCATTAGGCTACCCCATCACCAATATCTGCAGTGAAAATGGCAAACATACTTTCCCACTGTCACCTTGACCTTATGACCTAGTTCACAAACACCCTTTTCCAGGTCAAAGTCAGTCACAGAAAGACATGAAAACCTACTTTCATTCACTTCAGAAGGTCCCACTTGAGCTGGGCAATATTACCATCAAGTTTGGCAGTGTTCTGACCTATCAGGGCGGTGGGGCAGCCTGGTGGTATGGCAGTGTTCTGACCTATCAGTGGTGCGTGTGGGGTGGCCTGGTGGTATGGCAGTGTTCTGACCTATCAGGGGCGCGTGGGTAGCCAGGTGGCATGGCAGTGTGCTGACCTATCAGCCAGCGGTTGGGTGGCCTGGTGGAATGGAAGTGTTCTGACCTATCAGGGCGGTGGGGTAGCCTGGTGGCACGGGCAGTGTTCTTGACCTATCAGGTGCTTCTGGGGCAGCCTGGTGGTAATGGCAGTGTTCTGACCTATCAGGGCGGTGGGGCAGCCTGGTGGTATGGTTTGGCAGTGTTCTGACCCATCAGGGCGGTGGGGTAGCCTGGTGGTATGGCAGTGTTCTGACCTATCAGGGCTGTGGGGCAGCCTGGTGGTATGGCAGTGTTCTGACCTATCAGCTTGCTGTGGGGGTGGCCTGGTGGTATGGCAGTGTTCTGACCTATCAGGGCGGTGGGGCAGCCTAGTGGTATGGCAGTGTTCTGACCTATCTGGGGCAGCCTGGTGGTATGGCAGTGTTCTGACCTATCAGGGCGGTGGGGTGGCCTGGTGGTATGGAAGTGTTCCTGACCTATCAGGGTGGTGGGGCAGCCTGGTGGTATGGCAGTGTTCTGACCTATCAGGGGCGTGCCTGGGGCAGCCTGGTGGTATGGCAGTGTTCTGACCTATCAGGGCGTGTGGGTAGCCTGGTGGTATGGCAGTGTTCTGACCTATCAGGTGCACTGGGGCAGCCTGGTGGTATGGTTTGGCAGTGTTCTGCAGGGGACCTATCAGGGGTGCAAGGTGGGGTAGCCTGGTGGTATGGCAGTGTTCTGACCTATCAGGGGCGGGCAGCCTGGTGGTATGGCAGTGTTCTGACCTATCAGCCGGCGGTGGGGTGGCCTGGTGGTATGGCAGTGTTCTGACCTCATCAGGGCGGTGGGGCAGCCTGGTGGTATGGCAGTGTTCTGACCTATCAGGCGCTGGGGGCAGCCTAGTGGTATGGCAGTGTTCTGACCTATCAGGTGCGCTTGTTCCAGCACCTATCTGGGGCAGCCTGGTGGTATAGCAGTGTGTTCTGACCTATCAGGGCGCGGTGGGGTGGCCTGGTGGTATGGAAGTGTTCTGACCTATCAGGGTGGTGGGGGCAGCCTGTGGTATGGTTTAGCAGTGTTCTGACCCATCAGGGGCGGTGTGGGGTAGCCTGGTGGTATGGGTAGTGTTCTGACCCTATCAGGGCTGGGGGGGCAGCCTGGTGGTATGGCAGTGTTCTGACCTATCAGGGGTGGTGGGGTGGCCTGGTGGTATGGCAGTGTTCTGACCTATCAGGGCGTATGGGGCAGCCTGGTGGTATGGCAGTGTTCTGACCTATCAGGGGGACCTGTGCAGCCTGGTGGTGTGGCAGTGTTCCTGGACCTATCAGGGGCTGGGGGCAGCCTGGTGGTATGGCAATGTTCTGACCTATCAGGGCGGTGGGTGGCCTAGTGTTCTGGTATGGCAGTGTTCCTGACCTATCAGGGGGGCTGGTGGTATGGTGGGCAGCCTGGTGGTATGGCAGTGTTCTGACCTATCAGCGCTGGATCAGCCTGGTGGTGTGGCAGTGTTCTGACCTATCAGGGCAGTGTTCTGGGCTGGGCCCTGGTGGTATGGCAATGTTCTGACCTATCAGGGGGTGGGGTGGCCTGGTGGTATGGCAGTGTTCTGACCTATCAGGGTGGTGGGGCAGCCTGTTGGTATGGTTTGGCAGTGTTCTGACCTATCAGGGCGGTGGGGGTGGCCTGGTGGTATGGCAGTGTTCTGACCCCATCAGGGCGCTGGGGCAGCCTGGTGGTATGACAGTGTTCTGACCTATCAGGGCGTGGGGCAGCCTGGTGGTATGGCAGTGTTCTGACCTATCAGGCTGGGGCAGCCTGGTGGTATGGCAGTGTTCTGACCTATCAGGGGGTGGGGTGGCCTGGTGGTATGGCAGTGTTCTGACCTATCAGCGGGCGTGGGGTGGCCTGGTGGTATGGCAGTGTTCTGACCTATCAGGGCGTGGGGCAGCCGGGTGGTATGGCAGTGTTCTGACCTATCAGGGGCGGTGGGGGTTGCCTGGTGGTATGGTTTGGCAGTGTTCTGACCTATCAGGGCGGTGGGTTAGCCAGGTGGTATGGCAGTGTTCTGACCTATCAGCTGCGGTGGGTGGCCCGTGGTGGTATGGCAGTGTTCTGACCTATCAGGGCTGGTGGGGTGGCCTGGTGGTATGGCAGTGTTCTGACCTATCAGGGGGGTGTGGGGTAGCCAGGTGGCATGGCAGTGTTCTGACCTATCAGCAGTGTTGGGTGGCCTGGTGGTATGGCAGTGTTCTGACCTATCAGGGCGTGGGGCAGCCTGGTGGTATGGCAGTGTTCTGACCTATCAGGGCGGTGGGGTGGCCTAGTGGTATGGTTTGGCAGTGTTCTGACCTATTAGGGCGGTGGGGTAGCCTGGTGGTATGGCAGTGTTCTGACCTATCAGGGTGGTGGGGTGGCCTGGTGGTATGGCAGCAGTTCTGACCTATCAGCCGGGCGTGGGGTAGCCAGGTGGCATGGCAGTGTTCTGACCTATCAGGGCTGTGTGGATGGTCTGGTGGTATGGCAGTGTTCTGACCTATCAGGGTGGTGGGGCAGCCTGGTGGTATGGCAGTGTTCTGACCTATCAGGGCTGGGGTGGCCTGGTGGTATGGCAGTGTTCTGACCTATCAGCTGGGCGGTGGGGTGGCCTGGTGGTATGGCAGTGTTCTGACCTATCAGGGCGGTGGGGATGGCCTGGTGGTATGGCAGTGTTCTGACCTATCAGGGCTGTGGGGTGGCCTGGTGGTATGGCAGTGTTCTGACCTATCAGGGCGCTGGGCCAGCCTGGTGGTATGGCAGTGTTCTGACCTATCAGGGCGGTGGGGCAGCCTGGTGGTATGGCAGCTATGAGGGCGTGGGGTGGCCTGGTGGTATGGCAGTGTTCTGACCTATCAGGGCGGTGGGCTAGCCTGATGGTATGGCAGTGTTCTGACCTATCAGGGGCGTGTGGGCTAGCCTGATGGTACGGCAGTGTTTTGACCTATCAGGGGGTGGGGTGGCCTGGTGGTATGGCAGTGTTCTCATCTATCAGGGCGTGGGGTGGCCCCTGTTCCTTAAATCCAGGACCACTATTACCATCTAAGGGCGTGGGTAGCCTAGCGGTTAAAGCGCTTGCTCGCCAACCCTGAAGACCCGGTTTAATCCCTACATGGGTACAATATGTGAATCACATTTCTGGTGTCCCCCGTCATGATATTGCTGGAATAGTGCTAAAAGCATCATTAAACTAACTCACTCGCTCAAATGATGTATCAAGGTGTCTAAAACATATCCCATGGTTATAACAGAAGATATAGATGACATGAAACCCTTGTGATGTCACAGAACTGTCAAGCAGTCAACACCAGGTAGTGGCCAGGCTGATTAAACTATGGCAAAACCTTGCTTACACAGTCCCAATTTAAACACTTCTCTGCTTCCCCTGTACACATACTTTGCAAGATGAAGGACTGCCCTCTTCATCCTCATCTTCCATGACAGCCAAGTTAACATAGACAGCTGAGCAAGAACTGTGTAGAAGTGCGAGATCCAGTTTAAGGTTGGTGACACTCTCAGCAAGGACCATGGCTTCTCTGTACCACTTCAGTGCCTCCCTATACTCATCCTGCTTGAAACAGCTGTCTCCCATGGCTTTCAGGCGATCCATTCTTCTCCTCAGACCTTCACCTATGGGAATTGAATCAAGATATCATAAGCATTTCAAACACTCTTCCGAATATATTAAAAGTCATTCCAAATGATTACAAACAGCACTGAAAATACATAGTGTATTGATATAACTGAATTGGTGAACAAAGAATAACCTTCATCTACATATGGTGCAATGGTATTACTACAGCATTGGCAAAAGCAGTGTAATACAATATCACTCATGTTCTAAAACAATATTTGACACTTGCTGTTATGTAACAGTTTTGTGTATGTCCTACTCAGGGGGGGTAGCCTAGTGGTTAAAGTGTTCGCTCATCACACAAAATACCCCTGTTTGATTCCTCACATGTGTACAATGTGTGAAGCCCATTTCTGGTATCCCGCGCCGTGATATTGCTGAAATATTGCTGAAACAGGTGTATAACCCAACCCACTCAATGCTAGCTGGTAGACACAAGGTAATTGTTACAAGGAATTCATTTGCAGCCTTTATACTTGTGCGGAATTATTATCTGTCACATACAATGGACACCTCTTTGCAAACAATTCCATTGCATTATGATACATCAGTACTCTCTACATAACACCTGTTGATTGTGATGCAATGTGATGTAACCTCTACCGCGTCAACATTGTGTACTGTAACATTATCCTTCTCACTGAAACCCTACACAACAACATTGCATGTTATGATGCGCACTGAACTGAAACCCTACACAATACCTGCATGTCGCGGATGCACACTGAACTGAAGCCCTACACAATACCTGCATGTCGATGCACACTGAACTGAAGCCCTACATTAATACCTGCATGTCAGCCGCAATAATGCCCTGTTCTGAAGCCCCACACATCTTCATACATGTCGCGGATGCACACTGAACTGGAAGCCCTACACATCTACATGTCGCGGATGCACACTGGAACTGAAACCCACACACATCTACATGTCGGGATGCACACTGAACTGAAGCCCTGCAATAATATCTACACATCGCGGATGCGACTGAACTGAAGCCTTGGCTACAAATATCTACATGTCGTGATGCACACTGAACTAAACCCTGCCACATCTACATGTCGTGGATGCACACTTAACTGAAGGAAACCCCTGGTGCTGTATTGAGTGAGCATTTACCTCGAGATATCTTACAAATGTCACCATCTTCCTTTGAAACATGTTCAGATCTTTGGTAGCGTATGGGATTGCTCCTTGGGCTTTGCTATTCTGGGAGCTTGCATCTTGTTACCTTCTGTGATACCAGAAGGATAATTCTTTTCTGGTTTGGCTGGAATTTCAATCTTCTGATATATTTTTGGACTTAACACCAGATACCTCAGGTTGAGGACTGCTTGTCACTGGTCCATCATTGCCAAGTTGACTTACATTTGAATGTATAATGGCTGGGATAACATCTAGACTGCATCTTCCTCATCATCTTGTTCTTTTGTTGACCTGTCCCTGCTTAACAAATGTCACTTTGCTCTCTGCTGTGTCGAGAAAATAGCTTTTTGATTTATCCAAGGGTTCTTCATTTATTTACTTCTAGAACCTTGATCTCGTTCTTCTCTGGCATAACATTTGAACAGTTTACTCCTTCGCCCCTCTCCATGAGTAAGCCACCATTTCTTTGATCTGCTGCCTGGATCTCTGTGTTTGTGGAACCAAATTCTGTATGGCTTGCACTATCATCAAGGTTTTCATTGAACAGACTCTTATTATCTACCTTTTCAGGACCTTTCTGTCTCTGCTTGCCCTGCTTTCTCCTTCATCCCTCACACTGTCCTGATGTATCAGGAGAGAACTACTGGTTAGTCCATCACCTTGTCCTTGGCTCAAGTCATCTTCATATTCCAATTGTACAGTTGTATAAGGAGAAGTACTGGTTGGTCCATCACCTTCTCCTTGGCTCCAAAGTCATCTCTATAATCAATCAATTGTACAGTTGTATAAGGAGAAGTACTGGTCAGTCCATCACCTTCTCCTTGGCTCAAGTCATCTTCATAATCCAATTGAATGGATGCATCATCAGAAGTATTGGGTAGATCTGTCACCTTGTCCTTGTGGCTCAAAGTCATCTTCATATTTCCAATTGTACAGTTGTATCAGCAGAAGTATTGGTTGGTCCATCACCTTTGTCCCTTGACTCAAGTCATTTCATAATCCAATTGTACAGTTTTATCTGGAGAACTACTGGTTGGTCCATCACCTTGTCCTTGGCTCAAGTCATCTTCATAATCCAATTGATCAGTTGTATCAGCAGACGCATTACTGGTTGGTCCATCACCTTGTCCTTGGCTCAAGTCATCTTCATAATCCAATTGTACAGTTGTATCAGGAGAAGTGCATTGGTTGGTCCATCACCTTGTCCTTGGCCCAAGTCATCTTCATATTCCAATTGTACAGTTGTATCAGCAGAAGTATTGGTTGGTCCATCACCTTGTCCTTGGTTTAAGTCTTCCCATATTCCAATTCTACAGTTTTATCTGGAGAACTACTGGTTGGTTCATCACCTTGTCCTTGGCTCAAGCCATCTCTATAATCCAATTGTACAGTTGTTTCAGGGAGCTACTGGTTGGTTTGTCGTCTTGTCCATGGCTCATGTCCTCTCTATATTCCAATTGTACAGTTGTATCAGCAGAAGTATTGGTTGGTCCATCACCTTCTCTCCTTGGCTCAAGTCATCTTCATAATCCAATTGTACAGTTTTATCTGGAGAAGTATTGGTTGGTCCATCACCTTGTCCTTGGCTCAAGTCATCTTCATAATCCAATTGTACAGTTGTATCAGTAGAAGTGGTATTGGTTGGTCCATCACCTTGTCCTTGGTGAAAAAGTTGGTCAAGTCATCTTCATAATCAAATTGATCAGTTGTATCAGCAGACGTATACTGGTTGGTCCATCACCTTGTCCTTTGGCTCAAGTCATCTTCATAATCCAATTGTACAGTTGTATCAGGAGAAGGGTACCGGTGTTGGTCCATCACCTTGTCCTTGGCTCAAGTCATCTTCATATTCCATTTGTACAGTTGTATCAGCAGAAGTATTGGTTGGTCCATCACCTTGTTGTCCTTGGCTCAAGTCATCTTCATAATCCAATTGTACAGTTGTATCAGCAGAAGTATTGGTTGGTCCATCACCTTGTCCTTGGTTTAAGTCTTCTCCATATTCCAATTCTACAGTTTTATCTGGAGAACTACTGGTTGGTCCATCACCTTGTCCTTGGCTCAAGTCATCTTCATAATCCAATTGTACAGTTGTAATCAGCAGAAGTATTGGTTGGTCCATCACCTTGTCCTTGGCTCAAGTTATCTCTCATATTCCAATTGTACAGTTGTATCAGGAGAAGTATTGGTTGGTCCATCACCTTGTCCTTGGCTCAAGTCATCTTCATAATCAATTGGCCAGCAGTTGTTTCGGGGAAGTACTGGTTGGTTCATCGCCTTGTCCATGGCTCATGTCCCTCTTCATATTCCAATTGTACAGTTGTATCAGGAGAAGTATTGGTTGGTCCATCACCATGTCCTTGGTCAAGTTATCTTCATATTCCAATTGTACAGTTGTATCAGGAGAAGTATTGGTTGGTCCATCACCTTGTCCTTGGCTCAAGTCATCTTCATATTCCAACTGTACAGTTGTATCAGGAGAAGTATTGGTTGGTCCATCACCTTGTCCTTGGCTCCAAGTCATCTTCATAATCCAATTGTACAGTTGTTTCAGGGGAAGTATTGGTTGATCTGTCGACTTGTCCTTGGCTCATGTCCTCTTCATATTCCAATTGTACAGTTGTATCAGGAGAAGTATTGGTTGGTCCATCACCATGTCCTTGGCTCAAGTTATCTTCATATTCCAACTGTACAGTTGTATCAGGATAAGTACTGGTTGGTCCATCGCCTTCTCCTTGGCTCAAGTCATCTTCATAATCCAACTGTATGGTTTTATCTGGGAAGTACTGGTTGGTCCATCACCTTGTCCCTGGCTCAAGTCATCTTCATAATCAGACTGTACTGGTATGTTATGATTAGATAACAAGGATAGAAGCTGGTCTTTTTCTGTGTAGTTCTTCCATGTCCTGCAAAATTCCATAGTACAGACGACATTACATTAATGAAATATAATATACAACAATATATTTTATGGATTATCGCTAAGAATTTGTGGTAAAAGATTGACACCTTCCTGACACCTGTTCAGCCTGAACTGAGCCTGCCTCAAGACAGCATTCACAATATATTTGATAGAAACACTTGTCAAATCTGAAATATGTATTGAAATAATTGGACATACTAGGCAATGTCTGCAGTGACTGAGATTTACACCACTTTTAGCAATATTCAAGCAATATCATAGAGGGTGGACACCTGAAATGGGCTTCAAACATTGAAATCCATGTACCCAGGAGAAAAATTGAACCTGGGTCAGTGTGGACGTGCAAAACCTCACCCATTAGGCTACCCCATCACCAATATCTGCAGTGAAAATGGCAAACATACTTTCCCACTGTCACCTTGACCTTATGACCTAGTTCACAAACACCCTTTTCCAGGTCAAAGTCAGTCACAGAAAGACATGAAACCTACTTTCATTCACTTCAGAAGGTCCCACTTGAGCTGGGCAATATTACCATCAAGTTTGGCAGTGTTCTGACCTATCAGGGGCGGTGGGGCAGCCTGGTGGTATGGCAGTGTTCTGACCTATCAGGGCGGTGGGGGTGGCCTGGTGGTATGGCAGTGTTCTGACCTATCAGCGGCGGTGGGGTAGCCAGGTGGCATGGCAGTGTGCTGACCTATCAGCGGTTGGGTGGCCTGGTGGAATGGAAGTGTTCTGACCTATCAGAGGCGGTGGGGTAGCCTGGTGGTGCGGCAGTGTTCTGACCTATCAGGTGCGGCTGGGGCAGCCTGGTGGTAATGGCAGTGTTCTGACCTATCAGGGGCGATTGGGGCAGCCTGGTGGTATGGTTTGGCAGTGTTCTGACCTATCAGGGGCGGTGGGGTAGCCTGGTGGTATGGTAG